TAAAAAACCTCCAAAAGGCCATCACGTGATCTGATTACTGTGTGGCAATAATTGTGAGAACAAATTAGATCAACCTTTTCTTAAGGGGATTAAAGTCTCATCCCGGTGTCGTAACCCAAGAAGAATCTAATGAAGACTGTTTTCTCCTGAGGAAGGGGGCGAGGGTGAAGTGTTGGCTGACCTGGACTTAGTATAGGTGCAGTAGCCTTTGTTCTCAGCTGGTGGCTAAATCAACAATTCCCCGTCGACCGTCTTCATACCCGCCAAGATCCACCAGGTAAACACAAGGCAATAGGTTTGTGTTATTGTAATTTGGTAACCAATTAAAACTCTTCGTCTTTGGTTACATACTTCTTGTCTGAAGACGATTCTGATTAAATGTATGTAACTTAAGGTGGCAGGACTCTCCCTCTACAAATATGCACTTGCTGGGTAGTGTCAAGCGTTAAGTTTCCCCTGAGGCAGATGAGTGCAGAGAATGACAGTCTGCAATGTCTTTGATTAACCAGGAGAATGACGAATAAAACCCCTTTTTTCTAAGATATTTTAAACAAAACACTAATTTGATTTTTAAGCTGTGCTACCTGATGAGATTAAATATCCTGCTTTTTTACGGCGAGTACATCTTGTAGTTAAGGAGAGAAAATAAATGTCACTCGATAAATTAAGATTCAATTCGACAGCACAACCAGAGACCGTATTAGTATCTGCCACCAGCTGCAGATCATACCAGCTGCAGATCATACCAGCCGCAGATCATACCAGCTGCAATCTGTTCTATCACCTGAGAGCCGAGTTAATGACACGATCACCGTCTGTGTTTGAGCTCATGTTTTTATCTCTCACTTGCTGTAGGTCGTCGGTGATGAAGAAGTTGTATAAATATTAGCACCACGTCAGTCTCCTCGCCTACATCTTATTGGTCAGTTACCCCTTATGGTTCCTCGCTGGCCACTGCTTATATTCAGCTGTTTGTGTCAGATTCTGTGTGTGTGTGTGTGTGTGAATGTAAGTATATGTCATGTTTTGTGCATGTGTATAATCGATTATTATTTGTCTGTATGTCAGTAGGTACATATACGTACATGTTTGTTGTTTATGTGTATGCTTACGAGTGCATGTGTACATGATCCTGCTTGTATGTGCATGTATTTGTAAATGCTCATGTGCCCGAGTGTTTTTTGTGTTTGTGTGTGTGTGTGTGTGTGTGTGTGTGTGTGTGTGTGTGTGTGTGTGTGTGTGTGTGTGTGTGTGTGTGTGTATTTTACCATCGTTAGGTGCTAACTTAATATTTATATTTTAGAATACAGCTGCAGTCGTAACATAAACGAGTTATCAGTATCTCTGGGTTGTCTTGTACAAGGGAAGGACCACAGGTACACAATTCCTAGTTTTCGTTGTTCCCTGTAAACTAAACCAATCATCACCGGTTTAATTTACTTGTTTCTTTTCATTCCACCTTTATTAAACCCTTCTCATAAGTTTCGCAATTTACCATAAAAATTATATATCGATACACGTTTATATTTCCTCGGTATTATGACCACTGAATTACCATATACGGTACAAAAGTATTTTGGTGACACATTTACTGAAGGTTAAACTGAGGGGTGAGTTGTTTGGTATTCAGAGAGTAAACGAGTCGGTTTTCACTGTGTTTAGGGAGAAGACCTGAGAGAGATCTGTAAAAGGGAAATGACCCAAAAAATCAAAGTGACGAAACGATTACACGTGTTTCGAGGTAACACAACTTTCAGGTCTATAATTATCCCATTAATAGACAAACATAGATTAAGGCCAAGGAATAATTCACTCCGGCCCGAAGGTCAGGTGAAGGGGTGAGTCTCGCAGGAGTTTGGCTTAGAAGGAAAACCCTGGTATACGTTTGATCTTAAAAGGCTTTATACGATGCCAAATCTTATTCATATTAAAATAAGATGTGAAATTTAAGTGATAATGTAGGCTCATGAACGCCAACGAAAGAAAAAATTAATTTCTATGTTACACTTGAAAAAGAAAAGTGTTCGACAGATGATGCTTAAAAAAGAAGAAATTACTTCCCACCAGATCTTAATTTGTAAGTCTGCGCCTCGTCCTATTACCAGTCACCAGCAAATATGTTCCTATGTCAGTCAGATGCTTTCATTTTCTTCACCAATCATCAGTCAGGTGTCTTTATTCCCTTCACCAATCACCTGTCATCTCGATTTCCTCCGCCATACACCTTGACTGTCTCAATGAAACATCGGACACTGGCCTCAACTCTCTGGACCAGTCAGTTGGCAGATATCCAGTAGTTTCGGCCATTTATCAGCGAGACATATCAGCTGTCTCGATAATTCTGTAACCAGACACCGTAATTGTGCCTCAATATGAATGAATCTTTTATTTTCTTTGGCGAACAACGCCGCAATTTTCACCTTAATGCAACGTCCAACAAGTTTTCGACGAATATATCAACAAAGGTACGAAATTATGTACACGTGCTGGTACAAGATAGTCAAACAAACCTCTTGAGAATCCTGTAACTCGGGAGCTCCAGTGAACCGTGCAACAGCAGAAAGTGGTCTTCGAGGGGTCCTGATGCTGAAAATCGAGAACAATAATCCTCGTGTCGACTGGAAGTGACCGTGAAATGAAAGGAGTTACTGGTTAAGCTACTGAAGGACTCTGTCTTACAAGTGAATTATATAAAGCCCTTATAATACAAGAAACAAATCTGTGAAAGGTGTTATTTATATGATCTTAAGAGGGGGTTATAGGAGGCAGCTGAGGGCTTCATCTCGGACGGAACGATGAAGCTTCCAGGTGTTAGTAGAAGATGACGACACATAACACGTTCTGCAGGGTGATGGCTCATATATTTTTTTTTTCCTCACTAAAGCCCGACGGACAACAGCATCTGGCTAATGACTCTGTACCCCAAGTTAGGCAAGACGGTTCCCTGATCCCGGAACCCTACCCAAGATTCCGCGCTGATAATGCAGGTTTTGGTTTGGTTAGCTTAATTTGGTTATGTAAAGTTTTATTAGTTAAGTTTATTGGCTTTGGAGGGAGATTAGGTTATGTTAGCTTATGGGGAGGTTAATTTAAGTTAAGGGTAAGTTAGTTTAAGTTAAGGGTAGGTTAGTATAAGTCAAGGGTAGGTTAGTTTAAGTTAGGGGGAAGGTTAGTTTAAGTTATGGGTACGTTAGTTTAAGTTAAGGGTAGGTTAGTATAAGTTAAGGGTAGGTTAGTATAAGTTAAGGGTAGGTTAGTTTAAGTCAAGGGTAGGTTAGTTTAAGTTAGGGGAAGGTTAGTTTACGTTATGGGTACGTTAGTTTAAGTTAAGGGTAGGTGAGTATAAGTTAAGGGTAGGTAAGTTTAAGTTAAGGATAGGTTAGTTTAAGTTAAGGATAGGTTAGTTTAAGTTATGGGTACGTTAATATAAGTTAAGGATAGGTTAGTTTAAGTTATGGGAAGGTTAGTTTAAGTTATGGGAAGGTTAGTATAAGTTATGGGTACGTTAGTTTAAGTTAAGGATAGGTTAGTTTAAGTTAAGGATACGTTAGTTTAAGTTAAGGATAGGTTAGTATAAGTTATGGGTACGTTAGTTTAAGTTAAGGATAGGTAAGTTTGGTAATTACATCTTTTAAACTTATCTTTCCTCAGCATTTTTTACTTACTCTAAGCGTGACCTTTGACCTGGTGAAAAATAAATGTATATATATCAAATATTTGGTTCATGGTTTCAAAGTCGGTAATAAAAATAATGGTAACCATGAACTAATCAGAGGTGTGTTAGTGCGCGGCTGAACGTACGTCCGGCAGCGTATCGTAACGTTTATTTGGAAAAACTCCCTCAAGTGGGAAAGACATTAGTCAGTCAATCAGGAGAACTCTGCATTGGGCTCACGAAACAGTCAAAGTTAACGTGCTTTCATGTTATATTAACTTGTCGACCTGTACCCCAAAGTATAGACTGAGGTAAGATTTGGGGAGTGGTTCGTCAAGACGGCTGGCTTTAGTTTTTACGGGCTCTGGGCCATCGGGTTAAGTTTGGCTTTGAACCCTGACTGGATGTATGTGTACGTGTGAATGTGTACATGTGTGTGAGTGTGTGCGCGTGGGTGTTAGAAGCAGTGTTTTTATAGTTGTCTTGGCGTGCACACATCTTAAGTTTGTCTAGAGAATATGGCTGTTGACACTGTCCTGTAACTGCTGTGACATAATTCTACTACATATACGTACATCCAGCCTCACCCTGACGCTTTTGTTTCAACAACCAAATACACATCATCTAGATAGGGATAAGGTGTGTCCCTACGTGATACAAGAAAGGCCTATCGGTTTAAAGGTTAAGTAGAGTTGAAGAGTTAGGTTAAGAATTTGGGGAGATGGATAATTGTGAGTGAATATAAGGGTGTGAGGGAAGGGTGGAGGAGAGACGTATACAGGGCTTGAGAGTATAGGAAGGGTAATGTGTTGGCGGGGAGACGAGTGACTGGGGAATATAATGTTTATTTTCCACCGACTTCTGGAGTCTTAAGGGGTTTCAGGACGCCTTGCCTCACCTTGACGGAGTAATTAGTCAACAACAAAGGGTTTCACTATATTACAAGCCGGTACCAATATTTTCAGCAGAGGATCTCGACATATTATACACAAACTATAAGTGAATACAAGTTAGAACACAAGAAGTATAATATAGAAGAAAATCCTTCTTATTCTTTACATGTTATAGTGTCGCGAAAGATAAGAATAATATATTCAAAGAGCCGCCATACAGGTCCATTAAAAGGCTTCAGTAAAAACTGGACATTCACCTTTCTACGAGACTTGACAAGAGATAAGGAATGTTTATGAAAGTAGCTTTACAGAACAATAAACTAAATTTGTCTAAAATATTATACATTAAAGCTAAGTGTACAAAATTTATTCCTTGGTATTGTATGACAGAATCGAACTAACCTGAAATCTACTATAGAAAGGGACACAAGAGGCTCTCCTTAGCCAGTGATGGCAGGCAAGGTCAAGGTTAATTCGATGGTCACTGGAGGACAGCACTATATAAGACCCGGCACAGTAGGTCAGGCATCAGTACTCATCAGCCTCACTCACCATGAAGTTTGTGAGTAGCAAAAATGCTATTATTGGTGTAGTCTTTGTTGTCATGGTTATGTCGTTTTTTTTAATATTATTGTGTTTATTTATAATTTTGCATTATAATAATGGCTGTTTCACCATTTACACCTCTGTTTAATACAAGACTGAACTATTATAATGAAAAACGGAAAAGCAAAATATGTATATCACTCTACTCGATTTTAGATGCTCCTGTTCTTCGTGGCCATCGCCGCCCCCCTGCTCACCCTCAGCGCCCCAGCGGCTCTGGACTCCAGCGAGGAGGTGGAGGTAGTGCCCATCCTGAGGGACGACCGTGTCCACGAGGAGGACGGAAGGTTCAACGTGGAAGTTGAGACTGGCAATGGCATCCGTTTGTCTCAGTCCGGTTCCCCCGACGGTAACAATGGGGCAGTCATCCAGGCTGGACGAGTCTCGTAAGTATATAGAGGAAATATAACTGTTTTATCATATTGTTATTGAAAAATATTTAATTCTGTTTACGTATACATCTTGCGTCTGTAACTAAAAATTATGGTAACAGTCACGTCCCTAATTGATTATAAATAACATTTATTGTAGTCACTATGATTAATTACATCGAACGTAAATGTTTTGAATGTTACAGCTACACCGCCCCTGACGGCACCCCAGTTGAAGTGATATTTGTCGCCAACGAGAACGGCTACCAGCCCCAGTCTGACCTGCTGCCAGTGGCTCCCGAGTTCCCCCACCCAATCCCTCAGTTCGTACTGGACCAGATCGCCTTCGCTGCTGCAGAGGACGCTGCCCGCTCCGAGGACTCAGAGGAGTCTTAAAGCTTCAAAGTCAAATCTGTTTCATCGGCTTTTGATTCCTATAGTGAATTATCTATTACCAACCAATTATATTTATGATATTAATTTTGAAAATAAAACTAACCATGAAACTTGCCTATTTCAATAACTTATCCTGATTCTACTACAACCTACATTTATCTAAGTAAAAGTGGGTTCCGTCGGCCTGGTAGAGTCAGTGTAGATACAGCACACGTCCAAACTGTAAAGCTAGTCACTCAGTTTTATATCTTAGGGGTGACCAGCTCGTGAACCAGGAACCTTACGGCAGGAGATGAACACGGCATCCACTTGGCTACGGCATCCACTTGGCTGCGGCATCCACTTGGCTACGGCATCCAATATCAAGATAACATCCCACGTGTTGATTGTTGCTTAGAGGGTTCATTATAAGCTGCTTTTTTTAAGCACACAATTATTATGTATACTGTATATGTTACTAGCTGGGGAACCCGGCGTTGCCCAGGTTTATTTTTGAGGGGCAGGTCATAGCTCCTGTTCGTGACGCCACTATTATGTGCAATACATAAACTACAATATCTACTACACTTCATCTACAACACTATCATCTACAGTGTCATTTTTTGGTGTAGTCGTCCCCACAGGGCCGGGGGGGGGGGGCTTACGATGAGGCAAATGTCCTCATATTGTATGGCCCCGGGTCACTCCTCCCCTTACATTATTTTGTGGAGCTGAATTAGAGAAGTAACACCCAGATAACAACTCCCAGCTGCAAAGTGTCAGGTCTGTAGGTTTCATGGTGTTAGAGATATGGCACTGACGACTGACCGACTGACACACAGGATCCTTTATAGTTATAGAAAATTTTAATTCTTATCAAATTGTTTGCAGGTAGGCAATTCGTAAATTAATAGCATCAACCGTACGAGTATTCTCCGCTATTTGCTAATAACCATTATTCTGTTGGAGTCGTCCCATAAAATGTCATATTGGTTAAGTTACTGCAGTACAATCGATCTAACTGATCTTATTACTCCAAGATACAGATTCATTCGGGCGGGGAAATGTGCGCCGTCAGTGAGAGAGCCACTGAAGGGTTAATAGTAATGAGTTTTTGTTTTACAAATAAGACATTATTTTCAGATCCTGACACAGAATATTCATCAACAACACCATGGGAGACATCGAGGGATTTTTTGTTTTAAAGGAGGATAAATCTTGAGTACCAGACCTGAAGAAAGTCGACTGCCGGACAGAAGCTGCCAAGACGTGACACACGGGAAGGTTGTCGTCTATTAAACAACAAACTTTTGGTTTTAGATCACGAAACATTTCCCAGCAACTAAGAGCTGTATTACCAAGTAGCTCCTATTTATAATAATAATGCGAGTCTGTGTCTAACATTTATGTATGTGTTAGTACTTTCATAGAAGATTTCGAATAAAAAATTCTCTAAGATATGTTGAAAAATCTGGCAATGATATGATAATGAATTTTTTTATTGGTACATTCAGCATAAATTAGATGAATAACGCATAAGTAAAGTTCTTCGTATATTTATTATAGTTTCAAATAAATACAGTCTGTATGCTAAACAGTGAAATTTTGCTTCAGGTACCCAAGGAGGATGAATGAAATTGTGGTTGAAAGTTTAGGATTCATCAGAGTCCTCGGCGCTGCCGCGGGCAGCGTCCTCTGCAGCAGCGAAGGTGACCCTCCAGTTTTTATAACTATAGTAAACGGGTTTAGAGCACAAGTTGGTGGCCCACCTCTATGGCACCCGTCAAGCCATAGCAACTTATCCGACCTTATATTTACACAACAAGTAATTAATTGTGAAGTTATCCTTTGCTGTAGTGCTCTTTAGGTTACATCTTTCAAGAGAATATATTAGTCGGTATTTTGTCTGAAGTTTATTGACGGTAAGTGACTTGAGGATATGACAATAACAATAAACTAATAAGTATTATTATATAAAAAACCCGCTGTATTCATATCAAAAGGCTCATGAGATGTTTGTGCCTCAACCAATAAATACAACATTGGTAGTACAAATAACATTATTTTGACCTTCCACATCCAATACATATCGTAGTTTTCACCTCTTTTGATAAAATTGGTTGTGTTTAATTCACCTCATAAATACTGTCGTTCTCCTCTTGTTACTTATAATAACATCTACAGAATAGTCAGAGAGACAAAGAAATATTCTTCTTATGGATTATTAACTTTAGCTTTGATTACAGGAAACTCAATGAAGTCATCCATTAATTGTAGAATTCTTTTGGAGAAGGTTTCCAAATATTTACATTTTCACAAATAGTCAGAAATAGCTGCAACAGATATCGAGGTCAGAGAGAAGGTGAGCGAGACCATAACGACCAGTAACATGTCCTTCCTGACCGCATATGATAAAAGAAATACTACGGTTAACAAAAACTGCGGACCCCCAGTGTTGCCAAGAGAGCAAGATGAAGTCCCGCATGTTAAAAAGCTGCTAGAACGCCCAATACATTGTAAGTCCTGCTTTACTGGAATAAGACAGGAAATTTGATTTGGTGTTATTTTATATAGCCGAAGGAAAAAATAATTAGGGAGAAGGAAATTACCTCATTAGCATGTGGCGACGGGTGTGGTCAAGGTCAGGAAGGAAATCGCGGGGATAGAGGGACTATATAAGCCGGGCAGATGTAGTTCATTCACCAGTACTCACCATACACACTCACCATGAAGCTCGTGAGTCTACATCATACTAATAATTGCCTCCTCATAAAATCTTTTAAAAATCCTTAAGGTCTTTATTATCACTTCTGATTGTTATAACATTATATTTAGATTAATTATAAAATAGTTTAACATGTTCCACAAATCTGCAAACAACTTTCACATACAACCAAACATCATAACTTATAATTTTACCTGTAGATGCTACTGTTCGCCGTGGCCATCGCCGCCCCCCAGCTCACCCTCAGCGCCCCAGCGGCTCTGGACTCCAGCGAGGAGGTGGAGGTAGTGCCCATCCTGAGGGACGACCGTGTCCACGAGGAGGACGGAAGGTTCAACGTGGAAGTTGAGACTGGCAATGGCATCCGTTTGTCTCAGTCCGGTTCCCCCGACGGTAACAATGGGGCAGTCATGCAGGCTGGACAATACTCGTAAGTATATAGATGGAGTTACATTTCAACGGGTTAGCCTTTATCAACAGTATGAGTATTGTGTATATTCATTAAATCGCGGATATATTCTAATTTTAATTCTAATTTCAATGTTTATACAGCTACACTGCTCCTGACGGCACTTCAGTTGAAGTAACATTTGTTGCCGACGAGAACGGTTTCCAGCCCCAGTCTGACCTGCTGCCAGTGGCTCCCGCCTTCCCTCACCCAATCCCCCAGTTCGTGCTGGACCAGATCGCCTTCGCTGCTGCAGAGGACGCTGCCCGCGCCAGTGCCGAGGACTCCAAAGAGACTTAAGAGAGGATGTGCATATTCGTCTTTCAGGATTGTTTCAGTGATCGCTATGTGATTATTATATTTATATTTTAAATATACATCTCCAGATTTAAATGTGAATCCTTAAACATCCTACAATTAAAGTTTTCTTAGTTATATTTTAATATTCAATTCATTTTTAATGGGTGGCTTTGGAGTATCCCTTTGAAAATATATCAATACTCATCATGCATCGTAAATACCTCATATGAATCATCGATGTTCTTGTAAGAGTGTGCACGACAGTGCTTGGCGCCTTCCCACAACGGTTAAACCTCCTCACGAGGCTGGCCGCCACCTAGGGGTGAATTTGTTTAAATGTGTAGAAACTGTCGCCAAGACAACAGTCACACTTTAAATTAACGAGGATTGAACAATTCGTGACCTCTAGTGTAAGTCAACGTGTACGCTTTATCATAACTTACCTAACGTTACGAAATCAGTGGTGAAAGATATTCCAGAGGCTTTAACTTCTTAAATACAGAATATCTGACCAAGATTTGTTCCTTTATGCGTGTTCTTCTACCAGCTGTTGTCTCCGTACTGTAGTGTTTCTTGTCCCAGGGAAATATAAGGATTTGTTAATCACCTTCGTTGATTTCGAGATGTTTTCTTAATCAATAGAGTCTATCAGCCACGTGTCCTGGAAACTAGTCACTCTGCTTTATATTTGTTCTTGTTTTTCCAGTATGTGCAAGTAGACATGGACAGATCAGCTGGACAAACACGGCTACGATACATCCTAACGCCCACCTTCACCTAAGTAGCAGAGGTAATACTATTATTATTACTGTTATTAATAAAATAGTAATAGTAATAATGGTGATAGTAGTAGTAGTAGTAGTAGTAGTAAGTTGTTATTCCCGTTACTATCATCACCCTTGTCTTAATTGAGGAGTATTTAACCGTTCTCGTTTAAGACTAAACTGTGTTCCACTATGTACCTGAACACTGAAACTACCGATAAAGAAAATATTAACAATAATATCTAAAAAGAATTAGTTTCATATATCACGAGAAGAAATTAAAGCCAGGAAGGTTTGGCCCATGGAAGGATTATAAGCGACAAAGATGAAATAAGAGCACTTGTAAATACTTCCTAATAATAAGTTTAAATTCTACATTTGAATCCTAGAATGAATATTTATCCATCTTATCTATATGGAGCTTTACACGTTGTTTAGCACCGTACTATTAGTCTGATGGTATACTTAATTTAAGTGAAAATAATGTTTAGCAAGATCTACTGTACAATCTGGTAACAGGAAGTTTTGTTGAAGAGAACTATAGAAAACTACTTAATTTATTTGTAAAACTTAATTTACACTTTATATTGTAAGCTGTAAAACCCTGTTGCTTCCGAATCACTGCAGGGAGATCGTTTCACTTTGATGAGAAGAAATGGCGGCGACAGATCAAGAGTTCTTAGGTGAAATGGTGAATATTATAAGGGTGTTCTCTGGGCAACGTCACCGATTAAAACTTCTTTACTCTTTTTAGTGAGAATGTTTGAAGCTTCAGCGTTAGTTTCAAGGTTAAGATACTAACATATAGACTGCAACATGTTTCTTAGTATGATATTAATTTCTATCACACATGTTATTTTTGTTCCACACACACACACACATACACACACACACACACACACACACACACACACACACACACACACACACATAAACTGAAGTTTTCATCTGTATTTAACTGCCATTTAAATTTTTTCACTGCTTCGTTTTCTGTTTTGTCTTAATAATCAAAGTTATTCCACCAGATCGTAACGGATAGACACATATATCTGGACAAATGATGTAATAACAGAGAAATCATAACACTGAGATTTCACAGTAGGAGGACTGAAGAGGACCGTACGTTTTGGTCTAAATATTCAGGGCTTTTGTTTGTCTGATTATCTCCTCCTAGAGTGGGATTTCAGAGACATTCATATGATTATAAGAAAATGAGAAAACAGTAGAATAATTGATTATCTGTTTAATTTACTTCTTTTGTTCACATATATAAATAATAAATAAATCCTGAAGTTCTCGCATGATAAACGCTACTGAGGAGCGCCGTAGTAGGGGGCAGGGGCGCTGACTTCCTCTGAAGAAGCAACAGCCTCAGCGCGGGCGCGGGCAGCGTCCTCCTCAGCAGCGAAAGCGATCTGGTCCAGCACGAATTGAGGGATTGGGTGGGGGAAGGCGGGAGCCACTGGCAGCAGGTCAGACTGGGGCTGGTAGCCGTTCTCGTCGGCGACGAACTTCACAACGACGTGTGTGCCGTCAGGAGCAGTGTAGCTGTATGTAGGAAATGGGTATAAATACAAAGATAACCATTCACAAAGTGATTAACTTGCAGCAGTTTCACAAATGATTGTTACATTGAATTTTACTATCATTTTCGGTACTTACGAGTATTCTCCAGCTTTAACCACAGCTCCATCGGGACCGTCGGGAGAACCAGACTGGTACAGGACGATGCCATTGCCAGTCTCTACGTCGAAGCTGTACTTGCCATTATCTTCGTGGACACGGTCGTCCCTCAGGATAGGCACCACCTCGACCTCTTCACTGGACTCTTCAATTGGGGTAATAGGGATGTTCCGAGGGGCAGCGACCTCTTCGCTTGTGCCTTCGGGAGGGCCGTAGCTGTACTGGGGGGCGGCGAAGGCCACAGCGGCCAAAGCGGCGATGATCATCTAAAGAGAGAATAAAACATATATTACATCTTTGTTTAAGTGAAACGATAAAACTGTCAGGTGATTTTTATGATATAATATATACTAACAATGAGCAAGTTGTCCTCAGACCAACCCAACTTACAAACTTCATGTTGGCTACAGTTGGGAGATACTGATGACTGATACTCGCCGTCGCTCGTCAGGTCTTATATAGTCCTCTACCCAGAATGTCCCATGTCCTGACCTTGACCCTCCTCTACAACACTCTCCAAAGGGCCAAGAGCTGCTCTATATTTTCTCCTAATTAAAATAGTGATCTTGAATTATGCCGTGAAGCAGCTACATGGCAAATGGCTAATCCATTAACCCCCTTCTGCTCATCTGCATAAACCACACATCTCTTAAACGATTTTACTAATTTTGATAAAACTGGTCAAGTTAGCTAGTTGTTTAATGGTAAAGAAGGATTATTTGACCATGGACACATATTGTCTGTGTACAGTATATGACAACAAGGAGCCATTCAACTGTGGTCAGCACCTTGGATATCATTGAGGACTAGTAAATGGTATCATTGTTTGTTCCGTTTATCAAGAATGTCCTCTGTGTTAAAACTCGGTATCCAGTTTGTCAGTTATATCGACGTTAAATGGGTCAAGATTTTTTCGTGGTTTTGTGCCGTATTTTTTACAGGTGGTCGTCCTTTTAACGTTCTCATAAAAAACAGTTGGTGGCCAGTTTTTGTCGACTAGTCATGTATGGTCAGCCAGGCGGTCTTGAACCTCCTAACTGATCGAACATATGTATAATTATCTAAACCTATGAATATAATTGTGTATTTAATACTAACCTGACAGGTTGAGCCCACAGTGTAAGAGTGAAACTGGGGAAATAATGAAGGTTATTTGTATTTTTTTGCGTTTTTTGACTACATTTCCAATCAGGAATGAAAAGTCAGAACAAGTAAAGAATCTGTGATAATCTCTCATGCATTTTCTATTTTATTGTTTAATGATTTATGTATATAAAAAACTATTAAACTAAAGTAAAATTTATTGACAGTATCCTTACAGCCAACACCGACGCCTTTATATATTATAATTTTTAACTGATATAGAACTTTCTTATAGTGCCTACAGCTGAAGAAATATATACATATATACTGTCAAAAGGTATCATCTACTTCAGTTACACTTAAAATTATTTAGAGTAAGGATCAAGTCTCCTTATCACCATTACGGTAAAAAAAAAATCTTATCGTCAGCGAACATTGAAGAATATTTCCCTCAAGATCCATACACAGATATGAATAACTTTCAACACGACTCTTAAGTTAACCAAAATCACGAGTTGTCTTTAAAAATGTCAATAGATAAAATTTTCAAGATACAATCATAGGATTGTCTGATGGAGTGACCTTCCTTACACAAATTGCCAACAAAGGTCACCTGTCAACCGACCCTAACTTTATTTTAGCCGAATAGTTGATATTCTAGTACGTAAAAAGTGGACAACCCTCCAGAGTGGTCAAGTATGAATTTGTTGGTACGTGTATGAGCCTGTGGTAGAGCAACAATGGAAGGATCCCCCCTAGAAAAACACAATCTATACATCACATAGTAAGGCCTTCTCACCCATAATGGTCTATACATCACATAGTAAGGCCCTCTCAACCATAATGGTCTATACATCACATAGTAAGGCCCTCTCACCCATAATGGTCTATACATCACATAGTAAGGCCCTCTCACCCATAATGGTCTATACATCACATAGTAAGGCCCTCTCACCCATAATAGTCTATACATCACATAGTAAGGCCCTCTCACCCATAATGGTCTATGCATCACATGGTAAGGCCTTCTCACCCATAATGGTCTATGCATCACATGGTAAGGCCCATAATACATCACAGTAATGCTCTCACACCCATAATGGTCTATACATCACATAGTAAGGCCCTCTCACCCATAATGGTCTATACACCACATAGTAAGGCCCTCTCACCCATAATGGTCTATACACCACATAGTAAGGCCCTCTCACCCATAATGGTCTATGCATCACATAGTAAGGCCCTCTCACCCATAATGGTCTATACATCACATAGTAAGGCCCTCTCACCCATAATGGTCTATACATCACATAGTAAGGCCCTCTCACCCATAATGGTCTATACATCACATATAGGCCTTTCACCCATAATGGTCTATACACCACATAGTAAGGCCCTCTCACCCATAATGGTCTATACATCACATAGTAAGGCCCTCTCACCCATAATGGTCTATACATCACATAGTAAGGCCCCTCACCCATAATGGTCTATACATCACATAGTAAGGCCCCTCACCCATACTGGTCTATACATCACATGGTAAGGCCTTCTCACCCATAATGGTCTATACACCACATAGTAAGACCCTCTCACCCATAATGGTCTATACATCACATAGTAAGGCCCTCTCACCCATAATGGTCTATACATCACATAGTAAGGCCCTCTCACCCATAATGGTCTATACATCACATAGTAAGGCCCTCTCACATAGTAAGGTCTATACATCACATGGTAAGGCCTCACCCATACTCTCATCACATAGTAAGGCCCTCTCACCCATGGTAGGGTCTATACACCACATAGTAAGGCCCTCTCACCCATAATGGTCTATGCATCACATAGTAAGGCCCTCTCACCCATAATGGTCTATACAGCAAGGCCCCTCTACATCACATACTCACCCATGGTCTATACATCACATGGCCTCTCACCCATAATGGTCTATACACATAGTAAGGCCCCTCATAATGGTCTATACATCACATAGTAAGGCATAATGGTCTATGCATCACATGGTAAGGCCCTCTCACCCATAATGGTCTATACATCACATAGTAAGGCCCTCTCACCCATAATGGTCTATGCATCACATGGTAAGGCCCTCTCACCCATAATGGTCTATACATCACATAGTAAGGCCCTCTCACCCATAATGGTCTATGCATCACATGGTAAGGCCCTCTCACCCATAATGGTCTATACATCACATAGTAAGGCCCTCTCACCCATAATGGTCTATACATCACATGGTAAGGCCCTCTCACCCATAATGGTCTATACACCACATAGTAAGGGCCTCTCACCCATAATGGTAATTTTCAAATATAATCATAAAACTTGTATTTATTTTTGGTCCACATAGGTTCAGATGCTTTATTACGAGTGAAAGTCTTTGACCTACACTTGAGGACCAGATTTTATGTATAACTCCTTCAGCTCTCAGGATTGGTCATCAACGATAAGGCTGTCTTAAAGATTGATATATTCATTATTTATCTTGACTGTGATAATTATTTCAGTCCTATCTTCAATAAAATATTTCTTTTAAGCCCAATAAACTTCTTCTGTAATGTCACAGGTAGTCAAGAGTTCTTTGAGATATATATTTTTATACAAGATTAAACCCAAAGGACAAAACTATTCCCACCGGTGAGGATAAAAACTCAGCCGGTTGTTAAGTAGCTGTTGAGGGTAACTTTCAGTACGACATTATAAAAAGTAGACCACTTACTCACAGTCAAATATGTAGCATACCTTCAGGGTAAATACTATGGCTGTGAGGGTGTTGTAGGGGAGGGCCAAGGTCATGACATTGGACGGTGTGGGTACCGGACTACATAAGACCTGACGGCAAGTACCAGTCATCATTATCTCCCTACTCGAACAAACATGAAGTTTGTAAGTAGTGGTGTTTGAAAGATATCTGCTTGTCATTGACCTATATAAGAATATACAATAATGTGCTGTTATTCTGTCATTTCACATTTTCAAAACTATGATGTTTTGTTTCTTTTCTTTTAGTTGATCATCGCCGCTGTAGCCGCTGTGACCGTCGCCGCCCCTCAGTACAGCTACGGCCCTCCTCCCAATGACTCAAGCGAAGAGGTTGAGGTGGTGCCTATCCTGAGGGACGACCGTGTCCATGAAGAAGATGGCAGGTACAACCTCCACGTGGAGACTGGCAACGGCATCGTTCTGTCCCAGTCTGGCTCTCCCGACGGTCCTGATGGAGCTGTGGTTAAAGCTGGATCGTACTCGTAAGTATCGAAATGTTTCATATTAGAAACCCTCCCAAGATTTCATTGTCATATTTTACAAATATACCCATTTTCACATATTATTTTAAAAGTCTTATTAAGTGTGTTTTACGGCTATATAAAAACTATCATTCCTTAGTATGCATAACTTGAATGGTCTATGATGAGTAGTTACTTGCGTTCACAGTCAATTTTTCACAACAGCTACACTGCTCCTGACGGCACTCTGGTCGATGTTAAGTTCGTCGCCGACGAGAACGGCTTCCAGCCCCAGTCTGACGTGCTGCCAGTGGCTCCCGCCTTCCCCCACCCAATCCCTCAGTTCGTGCTGGACCAGATCGCCTTCGCTGCTGAGGAGGACGCTGCCCGCGCCCGCGCTGAGGCCGCTGTTTCCTCAGAGGAAGTCAGCGCCCCTGCCCCCAACTACGGCGTCCCTCAGTAACTGATACACTGAGAGAAATTCAGGATTTATTTATTGCTCATATAATTTTAACAAATTATTAAATTACACTGAAATCTGGATGTTTTAATTAACCCTCGTATATCCACCATTGTTTACATCCACCATAATTATTACACTAGGATGTAAATCATTACAGTCATGAAGTGTTTCTATATGAATTTAAGACACGCTGCCAGAAAATATGGTCATGTTGGTGGTATTGGCAGAAAAATTCGAGTTAAATGCATTTAGGTTTTAGAGTAATGTTTTCGTGAACATTCTGTTGTTTTAGTTGATTGGTGTCCCCTTTAAGTGGTTATTCGCATCAGGTCTTCTCTCTTATACCGTCATTGCGGTTCTAACAATAAACCTTAATAGCGTCAACATTTCACGCCTGGGACATATCTTAGAAGAGCTACACTTCTTGACATCCAGAAAGACCAATAAACAGCTAGTCCCCCTTTTACCTTTTCGCATCTCTTTGGCAAAATAGCGCAAAGATATTTTTTATGTTTTTGTAAAGAATCGTCATAGGAAGGAGATTTCGTATTTCTGTTATGTTTATATATGAAAATTTAACACTGAGATACACTAATTTCAGTCTTTGGCGAATTGAATACATGAGTGGTAACATACAAAACTTTTATGTGAATTTCCGTAGAGTTTCATCACCTTTTAGCCGATACAAATATCTTTCACATCGAGTCACTTGTTTCTACGTTTTCTATTAGATGAACAGTAAAGGAACACAATGATGGATGACTGATATGATATAGTAGATAAATTAACGATAACTATATGATAAGAAGATGTCGATAATCTTAAAATTGAATGTCCTTTTGGGTTTGTTACTCGCATTATCCAAAAAAAAAATATTACTATGAAAAACAGCAACAAGGCCAATACATAAAAGACGTTTACCATTCAAAAGTAACTGATGAAGTAATTAATATGAATCTCCGCTTTTCTATCTCTTCAAGAAATCAAAACTCCGTCAAAGAGGCAAAACCAGAGGCAATTGTTCATATAGTGAAGAGAAGCTCAGAACAACACCGCGTTAAGGGCGAGATCGCAATCACACCTGTGGAAGGCGATTATAAAAGACCTGAGAGTGATGCCCCGCCCTCACAACAACTCTTACGCCCCGCCCTTGATGTTGGTAAGTACAGAATACTTCCATTTACCCTCTACATGGAGTTTCCTTTCTGAACAAATCCAATTTTATATCAGTATTTCTTCATTTCTTTGGACTCCTTTATGGAACACATAATCTTATAGCTTGTATATCATCTTCATGGGTTCGCTTCTCTCAAATATAATAGTTATATCATTATATGCATTAATATCTAATAAGCCAAATACAGGGTAGATGTAGTTCTTTCTCTTTATATTATCGTTCTCTGGCATTTTATTTTTTATGGAGATGTGTAGGAACGAAATGTTTATGTGAGAGAAAGAGAGAGAGTTAAATTGGTAATTGTTTCAATGCTCATTTTACTACAGTGAAATTTTACGTGCTCAGAAGGGACGCTCCACACAGAGGCATCCCTAGAATATTATTGTTTAGGTTCTTTCTCCTTGGGAAGGAGGAAAAGGTGGAGTTGCTGTTATATTATGGTAACTCACTGTGTCCTATTGGTGAGAGGGAAGTGAGCAATAAGGGAAAGTTCATATAAGAAAAACATGTTTATGAAACCAATATAATCTCTAAGTGATCCTCGCTGCCTTGGTCGCCTTGACCACCGCTGCTCCCCAGTACAACTACAGTGGCTCTGATGAAGACTCCAGCGAGAGTAAGGAAGTGGTGCCCATACTGAGAGACGACCGAGTCCTTGGCAACGATGGTAGTTACAACTTCGACGTGGAGACTGGCAACGGCATCGTCCTGTCACGATCTGGTTCTCCCGACGGTCCTGATGATTCAGTGGTCATATCTGGACAATACTCGCGAGTACCCAAATTAATGAAATGCTCCTCAAATCACCAACTTATAAAACAAATATAATCTATACGATTTGCTTAGTTAATGCTGAACACAATATTATTTCTAACCATTTTTCTCCACAGCTACACTGCTCCTGACGGCACTCCCGTCGTTGTGAAGTTCGTCGCCGACGAGAACGGCTACCAGCCCCAGTCTGACCTGCTGCCAGTGGCTCCCGAGTTACCCCACCCAGTCCCTCAGTTCGTGCTGGACCAGATCGCCTTCGCTGCTGCAGAGGACGCTGCTCGCTCCCAGGAATCAGATGAGGTCCCCCACCACACCTACGGTATCGCCGAGTAGCGGGTCAGAAGAACAACGTTGTCTAATGTATTTATTATATAATATTAAAACAATATAATGTGTCACTATTTTTTGTTGCTTTCTTACCCAGACTCTGATGTAACTATACATGAAAGTCGCTCGGTATCAGAATGTTAGGAGTTAGTTTATTTTATCAGTACTAAGAAAGAATATATTTACTTCTAAAAGGCGTTTGATGTGTATTGTAGAAACAAAGACTTAATGATGGAACTTCAAGACTCGTATCTCTTCTGTTAAAACAACTGAGGTAAGTCCGCCTACCCGCCCGAGTATCCGAGCTGCTTGTTTTACCCATAGATCGCCGGTAGTCTTAATACTCATTTGGTTTTAGTACAGATTCAAACAGAGGTGTAGACGAACCTACTCCTGAGTGTGTATAAACCTCAAAATCAAATTCTATCTGCCATATCGAAGTACTTAATGCACGTTATTCTTAAATAAGTTTTAAGTTTCCTTAATTATTAAATAAGAATCCTGAGTCACTAAGAACATGGATATAAGGAGTGAGTATAACATCAGGGTAAAATTAGTATGAGGGTGTCCCACTTTTGTAACTGGAAGGGCGGGGGTAGGATCACTTGGGTCGTAAGTCTGTGTTCGTGGCGACTACTACATAATCTAATAAATTTCGGCGAGACAGAAACGCTCCTTTAAAACTACAAGTGAGGGTAGCGAGATAGTCTGTTGCCAGGTAGGGAACCTTCTATTAACAGTTTTTGTTGGTGTGCAAAAAGGTGACCAGGTACTGAGGCTACTACATGGAGTGTCTCTTCGGGGTGAACATTAGGGTCATAAGAGTTTTCTAGGGGAGGTCGAAGGTCCAGAGACTATATAAGACCTGGCGGCGAGGATCAGACATCAGTATCTTTCAACTGCAGCCAACATGAAGTTTGTAAGTAGCTCAGCGATCAATATTTGACTTGGAAAGATACTGTATGGAAACTGCGATACTTTTTTATTTTCTTTGAGAAAGTTCATAATTTGTTTTTTGTCTTTCTATTTAGATGATCATCATCGCTGTGGTCGCTGTGGCCGTTGCCGCCCCTCAGTACAGGTACGCCTTCCAGTCTGAAGAATCTAGTGAGGAGGCTGACGATTCTCAGTATGAAGACAGCGACTCTTTCGAAGATTCTAGTGAAGAGATCGCTGCCCCTCAATATACCTACGGTGCCTCTTCTGAAGAGTCCAGTGAAGAGTCCAGTGAAGAGGTCGAGGTAGTTCCTATCTTGAGGGACGACCGTGTCCACGAAGAAGATGGCACGTACAGCCTTGACGTGGAGACTGGCAATGGCATCATCCTGTCTCAGTCTGGTTCTCCCAGTGGCCCTGATGGCTCTGTGGTCAAGGCTGGAGGATACTCGTAAGTAACGGAATTATAGGATAATTCATAATTATATCCTTCCCATATTTTACACCTGCATGGCATTTGTTGAGTAACTAGAAAATGCTACGCTTCAAACTCACATGTCCAACCAATTTGTTCACAGGTACGCTGCTCCTGACGGCACTCCCGTAGTTGTCAAGTTCATTGCCGACGAAAACGGCTACCAGCCCCAGTCTGACCTACTGCCAGTGGCTCCCGCCTTCCCCCACCCAATACCTCAGTTCGTGCTGGACCAGATCGCCTTCGCTGCTGAGGAGGACGCTGCCCGCGCCCGAGCTGAGGCTGCTGTTTCCTCAGAAGAAATCAGTTCCCCTGTCCGATACTATGGCGCCCCTCAGTAACTGCTATGATGTGGACACCTCAATATTTATTTATTTTATGCTTATTTGAAGGAAAGAAATAAATTATAAAGAAACTTGGATATTTCTCTTATTTTTTCACACATCCACCTGTGGCACATTAACCGTAAATAAGAATGGTCAACCCACTTCTGCAGCATCAAAATCTTTTTTTTTTTTTATTCTTTCGTGACAATTTATTATACACAGTACAGTAGCTAGTAGAAAAACCCAAAAGGTATTTTTGTTAAGAAAATATGTTAGTATCCCTCTGTTTGAATTCGTAAAAACAAATGATTTTTCATCGCGAATTTTTCTAAAGAAGAAAATTAACAGGAGATGGACTTCAGAGTGCTAAGACGCAAAATACAATGGAAATGACAATATATTTTCTATAAAGAGCACAACCACAACCACGAGTAGTGATGACGTCATAGATGAGTGAGTTTCATCAATAATGGAAACGTTTAATTTAAAACTGAGAAGCGCTGCCAGACGGAAACAAACTGTACATAATGAAGACAATAAAACCCCCTGTATATGAAACTGAAACGAACACGTAAAGAAACGATTATTTTGTTGAACTAGAATTAAGTTATGCAAATCAGTTATCATCAGGATCCCTCAATATAAACTTTGACCTATAGATAAAAACTCTAAACTTGCATCTAGTTTATTCACGGAGTTTGTAAATACTAGCAAATGTTCATCACCGGAGACCTAACTTACCTGACATAAATTAATAAACCAGCAATATGAAGAACGGCTGATTCTGTAGCTATGATTAACACTTTATTAACTTAAACTATTGTAAACTGAGCCTACATGTGGCAGAGGAACACACGAGTCTACTAGTTCATCTTAGTAAATAGGAAGGAATATTGAGTGATATAAGCATTGTTCTCTCATTAGTAAAAAAGACCAATCTAGGTTGTGTTATATTTAGTATATGTTGTATGAAAATATAACACAATACAGTTTTACTTATATCGATCCCGCGTGTAGATCTAAAAAATCGAGCACTTGATAATTCCACGAACATTCTAAATTTCCACGTCAGTACAAATGGAATATGATTTTTTTATAGAATTAATGTGACTTCTTTGTTATTGATTAAGTAGGAAAACAAGTTAGCGGAATTTAAAGATTCTGAATCCCGAGCACAAGACAACATTCAATCTTGAGAGGGTAGCCAGTCACGTATAGTGCTGCTGGCTCACTTAAATTGTATTGAACCTATTTTGATACAGCCTGAGAAGGTTATAATAAGTAAATGTGGTAGACTAAAACAGAATATAAAACATTTTAGTATTTATCTGTTAGTAAGATGAGTCAGTGAACAAGTGGAGTTTATGGGTGCTGAGACCTGCACACGTAACAAGCGTAAATAAAATAGGCGTAACAATTATTTAAACATTATTTGTTCACCAGCCAGACAAACCCACACAGCTAAAACTGACCTCTACTTAATACCGTTAAAAGTAAATGAGCTAGTTACCAGGTGGTTGTTTAAGGGCAACTTTCATCATGAGTCTATTTTTTCATTAGCGTGTAAAAAGTAAACTTGTTTCTGACGATGCAACAGATGGTATTCCTTCAGGGTAAATATTATAGCCGTGAGGGTGTTGTAGGGGAGGGCCAAGGTCATGAAATTGGACGGTGTGGGTACCGGACTATATAAGACCTGACGGCGAGTACCAGTCATCAGTATCTCCCTACTCGAACCAACATGAAGTTTGTAAGTAGTGTGGAGCAAAAGCTATGTTGTTAATATTTGACAAATGTAGTTATAGAAACTGTGACGGTTTATTACCTGAATTAACAATTAACATTTTCTATGTTTCTCTCTGTTTAGTTGATCATCGCCGCTGTAGCCGCTGTGGCCGTCGCCGCCCCTCAGTACAGCTACGGCCCTCCTCCCAATGACTCAAGCGAAGAGGTTGAGGTAGTGCCTATCCTGAGGGACGACCGTGTCCATGAAGAAGATGGCAGGTACAACCTCCACGTGGAGACTGGCAACGGCATCGTCCTGTCCCAGTCTGGCTCTCCCGACGGTCCTGATGGAGCTGTGGTTAAAACTGGAGAATACTCGTAAGTATCTTAATTTATAGGAACAGTCAATACATTTTTTATATATATACGATTATTACAAGGTGTTATTTGTGCGGGTGAGGAGTAGAAGGTTTACCTACACATTTCCCAACAATCTTTTCACAGCTACACTGCTCCTGACGGCACTCCCGTCGTTGTGAAGTTCGTCGCCGACGAGAACGGCTACCAGCCCCAGTCTGACCTGCTGCCAGTGGCTCCCGCCTTCCCCCACCCAATCCCTCAGTTCGTGCTGGACCAGATCGCCTTCGCTGCCGAGGAGGACGCTGCCCGGGCCCGTGGTGAGGCTGTTGCTTCCTCAGAGGAAGTCAGCGCCCCTGCCCGGTACTACGGCTCCCCTCAGTAACCGTTATGATGCCGACACTTCAGGATTTATTTATTGCATATATATTTGAACAAAATACATAATTACATTGAATCTCGGGTGATTTACTTTACCTTCTCATATCCAACAATTGCGTATAACGTTAATGCCAATGAACACCTTTTGAAAAAATATATATATTTTTTAATTTATTATTGCTATGACAGATCTGTGAGGATTCAGAAATATTTTAACTAAACGGGAGGTATAGTTATCCCGTCGAAATTAGAGAAGACAAATATTTAACTCTTCCTTTCGTTGGGTTCTTGAAAGTTGAAAGTTGTTTGGGGAATACTGGTCACTTCGCCGTTAGGCTATTTCGGCCGAAGCTGTTTGTTTCCTGAGTCATTTTCTTTGGACTTCTTTCTTTTGTTCTTTTTACTTTTCAATTGGCATTCTTCTTTCTTGGTCTTGTTCTGGTATATTCTCATAAACGTCTAAAAACGGTGATGATGTTAATGTTACTAAATCGTTTTCTTCGGTCTTGTTTAATTCTGGTTTCTTTTCTGTGGTCTTCTTGGGGTCTTGATTTTTTTTTCTGTCTTGTTGGGGTCTTGATTCTTCTTTTCTTCGGTCTTCACTACAAGAAGAACCTCCTTGTGGCTCAGTTTTCCTTGGTTCACATCTCAGTCACTCTACACTCCTCCCTCCACTTGGGACACTCCCGGTCGGAGGAGGAGTGAGGGCCACCACAAGCTGAGCATTTCTTGGCGGCCACCGAGTAGTTGGTGTGCTGGTGCCCGGGTGTCCTGCAACTGCAACAGACCTCCCGAGCTCGACACTTCCCCGCCAGATGGCCATACCTCTGGCATTTGTAACACCTTGTTGGTCTTCTTTCATATGGTCTTACTGGGATGTTCTCCCATCCCAGCAATACGGTGCTTGGTAGATTCTTGGGGTAGCCAACCAGTGCACTTGTCAGCTTCCGTACTATTGAGAGCTGGTCTCCGATCAGCTCGGCCAGTTCTTCTTTTTCAAGGTGTTCTATCTCGGTGTGGGAGATGACTCCCAACACCAAGTTGTCCTCTGTGCGAGCTTCCACTAGTATCTGGATCCTTTTATGTTGGCTCTTTGCTGGGCCTGTCCCCATTCCGCGAAGGTGACGATAAGGCCACCACTCACTGGTCTGCGGACGACCCTTGTCACCCCCCTGATTCCAAAGGAGTCAAAAAACTTCCTTATGACAAGGAGATTTAGTTGCTTGCGCGAAGTGCATGTGACTGGATACAGTCTTACGACCTTCGCCTGGTCACAGGTCAGCATCGTCAGGTTCACGTAGTACCTCGGGAGCAAAGAAGATCTTGCCTCTCCGAGGTGCAGTGTTTAGTGTGTTCTTGAGTAACATAACTGTTTGCCATGTAACGTTTTCAAAGACTGGTTAATCTCAGATATTGGTGAAGGAAAACCAACAAGTAAAATCACAATTTGATTAATATAAACTAATCAAAATACAGACAAGAAACAATAATGACAAAATAACTAAATAGGAAGTTTGCTCAGTTCGAAAATTTAGCAGTTGACAAAACAACACTATTAATCTACAATTAAATGATTACAATATACAGTACTTAACCTAACTGGAGAAGGAATACTTATAACACAAGTTAAAACAATACAAATAACAATGTACCCATCACTATGGAGGGGAGGGAGGTGAGACCCACAGCCGGCAGCCATACTGTCCACAGACCACAATCTGACTGACTGTTCCCGGGTGGTTACCCCAACACCAAACCTCTAATGAAAGAGTCAAAGCATTAAGACAGTCCAGTGTGGCGACTCTTGGCAGTCCTCACCATCTTTTACTTAAGTAATAGATGGCGACTGTCTTAACAATGTAGAGTGGAAAAATCCCAATGGAAACAGAATAATATGTGTTAATAATATCACCCAAGGAAACATATTCTTAGTTCTTCTCTGGATTATATTTTGGGAATGTTTCTTGAAGAGATCAATAAACACATCTTCACCTTTTTTTTAAATCTAAAACCTTTACTTCATAAAGGAATGTATTACTGTTTGCTTAATGCTGATAATATGTAACTTCCTGTCATAAAAGATCGACGACACAACTTTCTCTCTCGTTATATGAAAATGGATTTGCTTTCTCACAGATATTTCATGTGAATTATAAATTGAAAGAACAAAATGTTTACAAGAGGATATTTTCAATGGCGTGAACGTTATTGATATAAATAACACATACAGTATATTGCAAATGAGCAATTATTGGATAAGAGAAAGTAAAATAAATCATCCGAGTTTCAGTGTAATATATTTATTTTGATCAAATATGTATGTAATAAATAAATCCTGAAATGCACATAGTATATCATTTACTGAGGGGAGCCGTAGTACCGGGCAGGGGCGCTGACTTCCTCTGAGGAAACAGAGCGGGCGCGGGCAGCGTCCTCCTCAGCAGCGAAAGCGATCTGGTCCAGCACGAACTGAGGGATTGGGTGGGGGAAGGCGGGTGCCACTGGCAGCAAGTCAGACTGGGGCTGGTAGCCGTTTTCGTCGGCGACGAACTTCACAACGACGGGAGTGCCGTCAGGAGCAGTGTAGCTGTGAAAAGATTGTTGGGAAATGTGTAGGTAAACTTTCTACTACTCACCCGCACAAATAACACCTTGTAATAATCGTATATATATAAAAAATGTATTGACTGTTCCTATAAATTAAGATACTTACGAGTATTCTCCAGTTTTAACCACAGCTCCATCAGGACCGTCGGGAGAGCCAGACTGGGACAGGACGATGCCGTTGCCAGTCTCCACGTGGAGGTTGTACCTGCCATCTTCTTCATGGACACGGTCGTCCCTCAGGATAGGCACTACCTCAACCTCTTCGCTTGAGTCATTGGGAGGAGGGCCGTAGCTGTACTGAGGGGCGGCGACGGCCACAGCGGCTACAGCGGCGATGATCAACTAAACAGAGAGAAACATAGAAAATGTTAATTGTTAATTCAGGTAATAAACCGTCACAGTTTCTATAACTACATTTGTCAAATATTAACAACATAGCTTTTGCTCCACACTACTTACAAACTTCATGTTGGTTCGAGTAGGGAGATACTGATGACTGGTACTCGCCGTCAGGTCTTATATAGTCCGGTACCCACACCGTCCAATTTCATGACCTTGGCCCTCCCCTACAACACCCTCACGGCCATAATATTTACCCTGAAGGAATACCATCTGTTGCATCGTCAGAAACAAGTTTACTTTTTACACGCTAATGAAAAAATAGACTCATGATGAAAGTTGCCCTTAAACAACCACCTGGTAACTAGCTCATTTACTTTTAACGGTATTAAGTAGAGGTCAGTTTTAGCTGTGTGGGTTTGTCTGGCTGGTGAACAAATAATGTTTAAATAATTGTTACGCCTATTTTATTTACGCGTGTTACGTGTGCAGGTCTCAGCACCCATAAACTCCACTTGTTCACTGACTCCCTCAATAACAGATATAGATTTTATTTATTGTCTATATAATTGTTTCAGTTTACCAAAGACACTTTTACAGCCTTTCCGTGCTATATCAAACTAAGTTCAACAAAATCTAAGGGTGCCAACAGCTCTAAACGTGACTACCTTTCGTGTCGTGGCGGATCAATGTTTGAATTCCTTCACAAAAGAGTTTAAAATGGTATTGTCAGATGCTGGGGATTATACTATAGTCTTAATTCTACGTTGTTGTTTCTCACTCAGTCAGATTTAATTTGCAACGTGTCCAGCGACTACTTTAGTACATACAGACGAAAGTGTATGTACAGTATCATCAAGTACTTCTGCTTTCTGTTTATCAGTGCGGGTCGTTCCTCTCCTTCGTCTTCACCTGCAAGCCAGAACCCGACTCAAGACTTTGTTTCGAATTATTCACATTTTCTGAAACTCTTTGGGCTGGATTACAGTATTGGGTTGACCATTCATATATAGGTTAATGTGCAACTGGTGGATTTGCGAAAAAGAAACATCCAAGTTTCTTTAATAATTTATTTCTTCCATTCAAATAAGCGTAAAATAAATAAATATTGAGGTGTCCACATCTTAACAGTTACTGAGGGGCGTCATAGTACCGGACAGGGGAGCTGACTTCCTCTGAGGAAACAGCAGCCACAGCACGTTCACGGGCAGCGTCCTCCTCAGCAGCGAAGGCGATCTGGTCCAGCACGAACTGAGGGATTGGGTGGGGGAAGGCGGGAGCCACTGGCAGCAGGTCAGACTCGGGCTGGAAGCCGTTCTCGTCGGCGACGAACTTCACAACGACGGGAGTGCCGTCAGGAGCAGTGTAGCTGTGGATAAAAATTTTCGGTAATAGGATTGAATTAGTATTTACCGATTACATCATAGAGAGCATTTTCGTTTTATAAGTAGACTGTTTGAGGAGCATTTCATTAATTTGGGTACTCGCGAGTATTGTCCAGATATGACCACTGAATCATCAGGACCGTCGGGAGAACCAGATCGTAACAGGACGATGCCGTTGCCAGTCTCCGCGTCGAAGTTGTAACTACCATCGTTGCCAAGGACTCGGTCGTCTCTCAGTATGGGCACCACTTCATTACTCTCGCTGGAGTCTTCATCAGAGCCACTGTAGTTGTACTGGGGAGCAGCGGTGGTCAAGGCGACCAAGGCAGCGAGGATCACTTAGAGATTATATTGGTTTCATAAACATGTTTTTCTTATATGAACTTTCCCATATTGCTCACTTCCCTCTCACCAATAGGACACAGTGAGTTACCATAATATAACAGCAACTCCACCTTTTCCTCCTTCCCAAGGAGAAAGAACCTAAACAATAATATTCTAGGGATGCCTCTGTGTGGAGCGTCCCTTCTGAGCACGTAAAATTTCATTGCTGTACAATGTGTATTGAAAAATATACTGATATAATATTATATTTGTTGAGAAAGAACTTCTGTATAAGGCAAGTGTAAGTATGGTATACTTACCAACATGATTGCGTAGGAGTTGTTGTGAGGTGAAGCGTCACTGTCACGTCTTTTATAGTCGTCTTCCACAGGTGTGATTGCAACCTTGCCCTTAACGTGGCATCGTTGAGGGCTTCCCTTCACTAAGCCTCTTTAACGAAGTTTCGATTTCTTAAAGTTAAAGTATATTTATTTTCATTAATTTAGGGCCAATCATATTTTCCACTATTCTGTTCACCAGTTATGTTTATCACTGTACTGAACCTATGTGTCATTTTACATTCTAATCCGGTTTTCATTATCATACCACCTTTAGACTTCGTTTCCTTTGACGCCAGCCTTGCCATTTGTAATCTTGGCGACGATTAACTCAGCGTGAGGAAATGTGGCGAGAGGATTATCAACACGAGTGACACCCTGCAGGAGTTAGTGACAGCCTCACTACGTACAGGTGCTGCTGAGCCGTATAACAGGTAATATAGACGGTACATATTAGTTATATATATATATATTGTTTGTTTTTGTTGGTATATAAGATGTAATTGCCTGTAAACTAGTTTGTCATGCATTCCCTTACACGCTATAGTATGGTGGTCAGGTTAAAGATCATTTCATGCTTAAGACTGACACGAAAATTGTAATATAACTGTTTCAGGTTGTTACGAACCCCGCCACCAATTGTCATGATCTACCTACCCAGCACCACGAGCATCGCCATCTAGGGACGAAACACGAGTATGACTCGTCTTAGTTACCACTCCGGGGTTTCCCTTCTCCATATCCTGGTTGTTGCGTCACCTCCTCAAAGTCTTCTTTGTCAGCTCCAATTCGAGAACAGAGCAGTTCACTCTGGGAAGTGACCACAGGATCACCTATCTTGGAAACCTACGGCGCAGTGACTACCTACCGTCTTCTACAATACTCAGCCTTACTCGTCAGCCATCTCAGCTCCGCACTTAAGTATTTGTAATCTTATATTGCCTCCCCCACGTCCACTTGCTTCAAAATTGTATGTTGTATAAATATGTATATACTGTTAATGTTTATGTTAAGTATGGTTAAGGGTAAATTATAGAAAGCTGAATATTTTGTTAAGGAATTTATGGTACTTTATTATACACAACAAAAACTCGCATCCTTTGTCTACCCTTTTATAGTCCGATTGTCTTTGTTTTTTATTTTGTTGTTACCTGTTGGGATCTGGGTAGACTTTTAACTATATTCTAAATCCCCAACTCGTAACAAGGTACATTATTTTGGTTTTATTGAATAGTTTTGTGCTATATCTTGTTTCATGTAATAATAATCTTATGATTTGATGCCAAGGGACAGAAAGTTAGGGATACAATTATAAAATATATAAAGCCAATCTTATTAGTAGCAGGATAGTTTAGATGGGCTTTAGAGGGGTATTGTGAAGTGTGTGTGGTTTTCTTCAATGGACAGCAAGGGAGTTTATTTAATCATAACTGACGGAACAATCGAAAATAATTACGATAATCGGTCAATTCCAAAACACTCGGACCGATCTGAATTTTGTCATATTTCCGTGATATTTTAGAGTCTTGAATGATTATAAATGTAGTCATCGATTTTGTCTGTCGTCGATTCAAGGACACCGAGAGATTCACATCATTAATCTGTTGTAGTCGTTATGCTCTTAGAAAACTATTTACTCTGCATGAACTTCTCATAAAATAAATAATACAAATCTTAGAGCTGTTAAGTTACTTCCTATAACATTATTTTCAACAGGTTTTCACAGATGGTGCTAAAATGTAATCACAGAAACGCGAGACTTATCGTTGCACATAGTAACCTAATTTCGGTAAAACTCCTAAAGATACCTGTACCAACACGTGTAAGCGACTTGGATATTACAGCGAAGACTTTCACATATGTAATAATAATAATAATAATAGTAATATCATAACAAAATTTATGAAATACAGGTAATAATATTTATGGGAAGAAAAATTAGTCAAACATTTAAGAATTATTTATTATTTATTTATTTCAGAATAAATAGATTAATTACATATGAACACTACACAAGTCATTCTTAGAAGCCAGAGTTCTTAAGGGGCGCCGTAGGTGAAGGAAGGAGCCTCAACGGACTCGTCAGAGCCGCGGGCAGCGTCTTCTGCAGCAGCGAAGGCGATCTGGTCCAGCACGAACTGAGGGATTGGGTGGGGGAACTCGGGAGCCACTGGCAGCAGGTCAGACTGGGGCTGGTAGCCGTTCTCGTCGGCGACGAACTTCACGTAAACTGGGGTGCCGTCAGGAGCAGTGTAGCTGTGATACATATAGGAATTATATTAAATAGAACTTATTCTTCATTTTCATACATTCATTGAATATCTCAGACACTCAGTCTTCCTTGATCACATTATAGATATACTCACGAATAGCTTCCAGACTTCACTATGGCGCCATCAGGACCGTCAGGAGAGCCAGCCTGGGACAGGACGATACCGTCGCCAGTCTCCACGTCGACGCTGTACCTGCCGTCGTCCTCGTGAACACGGACGTCCTTCAGGATGGCCACATGCTCTGCACTCTCTTCGGAATGAGCGTAGTCAGGCTTGGGTGCGGCGACAGCCACAGCGGCCAGGGCGGCGAGGATCACCTTGGCACAAGCATCATAAAGGTAAGTAATGGCTATGACTGCCTCTGTGAGCATCTGTTTATTTTGCAAATCATTATTCTAAGCCTTTTCATACCTAAAAATTTTGCATGTCATGTGATGGAAATTATCCACACATATTTCACAGGCTAATTAATATATCTTGAGGTACTCTCCATATCAGTTAATCCCTGTTAATCGTCCCTACACATACGTCAGAAATTAAAAGATGCTGATAATACTGTATTCCAATTTTCAATACACCCCGAATTGTCCCAGAGTTTATTTTATATATTTAACTCTTTACGAATATCAGACTAATAAGATTTATAGGACACTGTTGAAGAAGCTCCATCACTTACAAACTTCATGGTGAGTGTGCTTGATGAAACTGATGCTGAACTCCGTGTTGCCCAGTCTTTTATAGCGGCAGTGTAGCAATGTCCTCCTGTGAGTGTGGCTGGGGCAGGTTTTATCACCAGCAAACATGTCCCTGACATTTGTTTATCAATCAGATTGACCAAATACATTAATCAGTATTGCCTCGTCAATGACTTTTAATACTCTCATTGTGCGAGTATAGAGGCCTGAGGTATAAATTTGTTCTCTTATTGATGTTTGGGAAATTATCAGTCTGCTTCTAATGTTAAGAAAAATTCTCCCCCTCCTTCACTGAACTGGTTTGTTTATAATGATCAACTTCGGGTTTAGCTCTCCATCTCCTGCCAGTCTTCTGCTGTGATCCGTATGTGGCCTCTGACGACCTACTCCTTATTTTATAGACCTTTAACTGTGTCGCACAAGATTCCCTTCTCAACATCTAATCTATTTCCGTGCTATAGTTTCCGCCCATTTCAATAATACTTCGTACTTGAAGCAGTGATTTTATCCTATTCATGTCGTGGTTTTATGTGTACACCTACCTTACATCTTTCTATGTTTCTTTAAGTATTTTAGGATTGCTGTACGAGTATCGTGTCCATTATTCACCGCTGGTTGTAGATAACGCAAACACATCCCAAACATAGTGGTTCCCCGCAATCAGTAACGAAGGTTTTTTATAGAGTATTTCAAATAATTTGTTGATTTTGCAAAATTGATTTTCGTGATATAATGTTCGTAGGTGCGCGCGCGTGTTTTTACGCTACATTAGTGATGTTCGCCGATTAAGCTTTAAAAAGTCGACTTGACATTTTTACCATGTAAGGATAACTTTATATTTTGATTGCCACAACTCGATGGGAATTTATTCGTATGTGATAAGTCTTGGCCTGCTTAATTTAAAGCCTTTGATTACCATCATAAAGTAACCAAATTATACCTAGGTTAGGTTAGGTTAGGTTCGGTCCATTATGTAGTTATTTATATGTATTTTGATTATATGCTCACTTTTTTTAACAGAATTGCACAATCATGGAAAGATGAATCATTAATTTGAATAATTACCATAAGGTAAATAATGTTCTTAGTTTCTCGGCCAGTTTTAGCAGCAATGTTGGAGAATGGAAGTGTGAAAGGCCACAATTATTGATTACAAACTCGAAACGTTTGGAGGTTACTTGAGACTGTGTGTGTGTGTGACAAGAGCAGCAGATCGACACTTGATAAAGAGATCCCCTACCGGTTAACACGATACAACTCAACGATGCAAAACGAAATCCATCATAAGTCGATTAAATTAGGAAGTTAGGGCACTGGAGGGGAATGAATGATCAAAGCGGAAGATCGTTCAGAAAGCTAGGAAGGTGTCGGAACTGATTTATTAAGTCTAGGCTGATAAAGCAAAAGTCAAGAGAGAGAGAATAGGGAAAGGAGAGAGAAAGGAAAACTCAAAGAAACAAAACTAATGAGGGTAAGGGAAAAATTTTCTCAGTGAAAAACAAATCCGAAATCTCTTGTAAATTTTCTTGGTATCCATCTGACTATCTGCATAAAACAGTAAAAAATGAAATGACTTCAAAAACAATAACTATCCAATAATGATTAAAACTTGGGTGTAACCTGATTAATTAGCAAATGTCAACGACGTGTTAACTGTGAGTGGAACCTGCCTCAGGTACAGCGCCACCAGGTGGACACTGCTACACCCCCGCTATAAAAGACTGAGAGACAGGCATTTGAGCACCAGAATCTCTCAAACACACTCACTATGAAGTTCGTAAGTGTTGTGAATAATTTAGTGATTCATACAATATGCATTTGTTGTCTATATATATATATATATATATATATATATATATATATATATATCTCAGCATGAAGTCCTTGTTCATTGCAGTTGTCTATATCTAACCGGACGAGCACACAAAAAGCTATAAGCTGACAAGAGATTTAACTCAAAATATATCAACTAGCCAATGAAAGTGCATAGATATTCTAATTCTCGTATAAGACAAGACACTGTTAATTGTGGACCCATGATAGCTGTATATGGTGAGGCTCACAGAACTCTCCTGTAACTACCACTTACCTTTATGATGCTTGTGCCAAGGTGATCCTCGCCGCCCTGGCCACTGTGGCTGTCGCAGCACCCAAACCTGACTACGCTCGTTCCAAAGAGAGTGTAGAACAGGTGGCCATCCTCAGGGACGACCGTGTTCACGAGGACGACGGCAAGTACAGCGTCGACGTGGAGACTGGCGACGGTATCGTCCTGTCCCAGGCTGGCTCTCCTGACGGTCCTGATGGCGCCATAGTGAAGTCTGGAAGCTATTCGTGAGTATATCTATAATGTGATCAAGGAAGACTGAGTGTCTGAGATATTCAATGAATGTATGAAAATGAAGAATAATTTCTATCTAATATAATTCCTAAATGTATCACAGCTACACTGCCCCTGACGGCACCCCAGTTTACGTGAAGTACGTCGCTGACGAGAACGGCTACCAGCCCCAGTCTGACCTGCTGCCAGTGGCTCCCGAGTTCCCCCACCCAATCCCTCAGTTCGTGCTGGACCAGATCGCCTTCGCTGCTGCAGAAGACGCTGCCCGCGGCTCTGATGAGTCCGTTGAGGCTCCTTCCTTCACCTACGGCGCCCCTTAAGAACTTGTGTAGTGTTCATATGTAAATTAATCTATTTATTTTGAAATAAATCTTGTATATATGCAACGTGAATATTTTAATAGCATTACATCCCCTAGTTTTTTCAGTATAATATTATTGTTGTTATTATCATTATCATCAATAATTAAATGTTTACTGTAATGTGAAAGGTGTTTGTACGTTACACTCCGGAGTAGCGGCAGAAAAGATGACCAGGTTACACCAGCGTGTTGACCAGTTAGTGATACAGGGGGTTCTATCTCTTGTATTGCTAACTGTTGATGAACTAGTAAAATAGCTATCCTTTTTACACGTTAAATAAAAACCTTAGTTATTGAAGCACGGTAATAACAATGGAGCATCAACAACTCTTAACCAAAAGTATTGAAACAAGGTGTAAGTCGCGTTGTATTTGTTTGACTGGTTTAAATTCACATTGGTATATTCAAATTCTGCTTGTTATACCCAGATCAGAACTTCTATAGCATGTTATGTTAATTAATAGTTAATAGTATAGTTTTTAGCACACCATAAGCTTAAGAAACCCATTTAACTGGAGTATTATCTGTTCACTGAATCCCGCAAGATTTCTGGTTTCAACTATTTATCTGAAAATCTGATATCCAGTCGAGCATTAAAGTGTTCTATCACCCCCTTATGATCTGGCCTACCTGCTACATATTCAATACTTTGTTTCATATTTCATTTTACTCGGTTTTTATTCTAACTATACTTGAGGTTTATCCCTGAGGAAGGACACCTGTGTCTCCCCTTCTGTTGCACCTGTCCCTGCCCCGCCCACTGTTGCATCTGCTCCTGCTCCACCCACTGCTACACCTGTCCTTCCCCTTCTGCTGCCTGCAACTGTTCCTGCCCCGCCCACTACTGTTGGTGAATGATTTGGTTTGCCAGTTAGGATTGCCATTTATAGAGCTGGTGATGTAGGTGAAAGTGTTTAAACTCTGCGTCTAAATGTTGTTCATTGTACTGATGAAGTAGAAGACAACGTGAATTTTGTTTATATAACATTCGCGTTTCAGTTACAAAATTGTCATCTTTAAACAGTTTCATTCGCTCTACTGAACTTGTCTTTCAGTAAATCGTCACCTTATTGTGGTTGTCGAAGATTTTGTTTTGTATCGTGTCCACATTAGTCACAGACGATCAACACCTCTAAATCTCCCAGTAACTCTATCAGTGACTGGTTATATATTCCTAAAGCTTTAGAGTCGTCTGTCCTACTTGGCCTCATCCTAACAACCCGCGCAAAAAATGATTAAGACGTGAATTCCAATATTTTACTGGTGTCAAAATTGATGTAAATAGCTAATTAGATATTTTTTCCGGTCATTAATTTCTTTATCACTGGATGACAGTGTCCACAAGGGCTTCATGTGAGATCCTCGGTGGTTAGTCGACACATATTCGATATTTATGTTTATGTTGTTAATTTTTAGGGTCAGAGATCGCACGAAAACCAATTTATATATATTTTGAAGAACATTGAAGTGAGTTTTGAGTTACCACGCTTCATGGCAACTGTATTAAACTGACTTAATTCGACTTTTTGGGTTTTGCTTTTCGCTTACATCAAAGATTATCATATAACCAAATTATGGCGATGAAACCCAGATTAGTTTTACTCGAGGCGCATATTTATATTACATTCTCGGGGAAAATTATAGATAATTATACTCCGTACAGAGAACTCCGCACGGTACTGTGCTTATTACTCGACACATAAAATCTAACTTTCAACTTCTATTATGATGAATCCGGTTATATTTGTCAGCTCCTTTGACAACACTCAGGTAACACTCACACACTAAGACGATGTACTGTATAGGTAGTACTAGTGACGACAATAATACCATTACATTTACAGTTCTATGATAAATTTATTTCAAAATAAATACAATAAATACGTTTGAAGATCACAAAAGCCATTATTAGAAGCCAAAGTTCTTAAGGGGCACTGTAGGTGCGGTAAGGACCTTCAGCAGACTCATCAGAGCCGCGGGCAGCGTCTTCTGCAGCAGCGAAGGCGATCTGGTCCAGCACGAACTGAGGGATTGGGTGGGGGAAGGCGGGAGCCACTGGCAGCAGGTCAGACTGGGGCTGGTAGCCGTTCTCGTCGGCGACGAACGTCACATGAACTGGGGTGCCGTCAGGAGCGGTGTAGCTGTAATACAGTTAAAGAGTTCATTAAATATAAACAACTCTTCAGTCTCATACATGTTTTAACTACTGTAACAACAAACAATTATTAAACAGACTATGATGAAATTACTTAGTGTTGTTTTATCACACAACAAAAATTATTAAAAAACTACTCACGAATAACTTCCAGACTTCACCACGGCGCCATCAGGACCGTCAGGAGAGCCAGACTGGGATAGGACGATGTCGTTGCCAGTCTCTATGTCGAAGTTGTAGCTGCCATCGTCCTCGTGAACACGGACGTCCTTCAGGATGGGCACATGCTCTACACTCTCGTGGGACTGAGCGTAGTCAGGCTTGGGTGCGGCGACAGCCACAGCGGCGAGGGCGGCGAGGATCACCTTGGCACAAGCATCATAAAGGTAAGTAATGGCTATGGTACTGCCTCGGTGAGCATCAATATAGACTTACATTATTGCATTCAAACCTATTCCTTGTTAACGCTCGCCTTTAAGAATGATGATTTAAACTCATTGTCATATATTTGTAATGCTCGTATTAGGTAGCTAATTAATAATATACCTAAAATCAAATATTTAACTGGGGTGTTAGATATTCAGATACTCGTTTTAGCCACGATTATTTGTCTTACGAAACACCTCTCTGCACTGCAACACTTACGAACTTCATGGTGAGTGTGTCAGGGAGGTACTGATGTAGAGACGTTGTCGCCCCGGCTTTTATAGTGTGGGTGTCGACAGCAGGTTCCTCCAGGCGCCCTCTGTAGCCGTAAACTTGTCCTTCACCTTCACCACCTTCCATTCACCTTGCTCTGGTTCCTGACGTATGATAAATTAGTGCATATCTTTGTATAAATAATCTTCATATACATAATGAAATCGTTGCAGACTTACAGTAAACACTTATCCAATGAGAGCATTTGCCATTCGACCTAACTAGATAACTGCCCTTGTATTTACACCCAGTAGTGTGTGTGTGTGTGTGTGTGTGTGTGTATTTTACTGCATGATGATGGTGAACAGATAAATCAGTTAGTCCAACTTTATTTATTGCTAATTGTTTCACATAGACATAAATTATAGTCATCTGTAATCTTGCCACCAAACAAATGTCTGTATGTCTTTGATATATCTGTCTTAATTTTTGTTTACTTGTCTCTTTTTTTCTGTACTTATGTCTGTCTGTTTCTCCCATTCTTTCTTTTCTCTCGCACGTGGACTCATAAAATATAACACTGTACCTGGTCGATATCTCCCAGGTCAGGTACAGTACACAGTAACCTGTTCCCGCTGACCGACATTCCTCACCCTTGTTTTTAACCTGTAAGAGACATTAACATTGGTCTCAGTGTCAATATTGCTTTCTGATTTTCCTACAGTAACGACAAACTCTCTTTATTTACTGTTCCCTCATATACGCACACAGTGTCTGAACTTGTGTACGTGTGTGTGTGTGTGTGTGTACGAGCGTGATACATTTTATATAACTGGAGTAGGTAGTAGCTGGCATAAAATCACTAAACTGTGTCATCTACCGGTCAGCCCACTTGACTTATCGTGTTTAATAAGTGTGCACGTTGGTGACTGAGGGGGTAGGCGAGGAGCTGAGATACGAAATTAATCCTTGTCCTTCTCCTTCTTCTCTCTCTCCTTTACTTCATCTCCTCTTTCTCCTCCTCGCCTCCTTATTTTCATCATTTTCCTCCTCCTCCTTCTCTCCCGTCTCCTCTTTCTCCCCTCTTTGCCCTTTTCTATTCTCCTCTGACTTCTCCTCCCAGCTGATTATCCCAAGAATGTGTTAATAGGTATATGTGATGAAGACTAACAGTACGAGCTGAACGAAGTGAAACTGTATCACTCACAGTGTCGACGCCGGGTACATTATACTAAGGCAAACTAAAAAGAACAGGGTCTCAGAAACTGGACTTTTATGTTTCAAGTGGCCAGAGGGCGCGGTCTGTCTTACTTATAGACATATCTAGACCATCAACGTTATGTTTGTATGTAAGTAATATTTCCTCGAAAGATACAACAAGGAATGTTAAGTTTACTACATATGGGTTGACTGATAGAGAAAACACTGTAACTGAGAGATCAAGGAGATTATTCCCTCAAAGTTCTTCCCGTAGATATTCAAAGAAATTTGTAAGGGAGTCATTTGGGATGGACAGCCTCATACAGTAATGGTGCCTCCTGTGACAAGTTTATGTACAAAATGTATGCAGTCAAGAATCAAAGAACTGAACGAGGTAAATGTAATGATGATAACGAAATAGCTATTACCATTATTACTATTATTTACTTTTGGGGGGTTCACTAGTGCCGGTATAAAGAGTCTAACACAAATAATCATTAACTGTACAGTACTTATTATACCCGGTTGGTGTTGGATAAAAAAAATCGTCACGTGCAAAGAAAACATTTTAAATGGACCTGAACTCCTTTAGAAATCGATTTACATATTCAAACACAACACGCCATAAGAGGGAAGAGGGAAGATGCCATACTTGCATTCACTTATGTATTTAAAACACAACGATTTAGTGCAAATATGACACAGGAACACCAGACTATGTTCAGAGATAGAAATATATACAGTGGCATAGTATCTTAACACAGGAAGAAAGCAAAAGGTTTACTCTCAAACTACTAACTATCTGACGGAAAAATAAACTCAAGAAATTTTACAGCATTTAGTGGCGAGACAATGATCAAAACAATGGTTGGTAAAAGTTTGCGTATAGAATTATATTAGCTACCCATCTGCTTAACCTTGAGAGTTAATACTACACTCAGCAATGTTTGATAAAAAAAATGAATATATTTTACTAGATTAAGAAAATAAGAACAAAGGTGACGGTCACACGCATTAATCATCACCATGAGTTCAGTAATCTCTACCTGAATGTTATGAGGTGAGACGCCCACTGTGAACTTACATCGCCGGTCAGTGTTAGTGTTCATCAGAGTATCCTCTCTCTCTCTCTCTCTCTCTCTCTCTCTCTCTCTCTCTCTCTCTCTCAGCAGTATCTAACACACACTGTAGGGTCATGTAGCTATGTTTCATCCCTTGCGGTTCAGTCCTCCATGTGACTGATAAAAACATACACTGGAGTATCCTAGTCAACTCTCCTCAGAATTAGGGAAAGTAACAGACGACTGGCCCTACTGAGTGAAGTAACAGACTAGCCCTACTGAGTGAAGTAACAGACGACTGGCCCTACTGAGTGAAGTAACAGACGACTGGCCCTACTGAGTGAAGTAACAGACAGACTAGCCCTACTGAGTGAAGTAACAGACTAGCCCTACTGAGTGAAGTAACAGACTAGCCCTACTGTTACTGAGTGAAGTAACAGACGACTGGCCCTACTGAGTGAAGTAACAGACTAGCCCTACTGAGTGAAGTAACAGACTAGCCCTACTGTTACTGAGTGAAGTAACAGACGACTGGTCCTACTGAGTGAAGTAACAGACTAGCCCTACTGTTACTGAGTGAAGTAACAGACTAGCCCTATTGTTATTGAGTGAAGTAACAATTTATGATAAGATAATGCCAGATCCTGTACGGTATACACCTCCCTATTAAAGATAAACTGTACCGTATTATAAACCCCACTTGATGTATATGAGCGTTAGGCCACGATACACCGGTAAGCAACACGGCGAGGTAGGTTAAGAGGGCCCAATAATGATCGTTGTTCTAGTACATCCATATTAGTTAATAAGTGTCAAGGACGTGTTTACCGCGGTTGCTACACTTCCATTATAAAAGAGAGGGTGAGGCGGACCAAGACACCAGTACTTGCCCAACACACCCACCATGAAGTTCGTAAGTGTTGATGTATAATTGTGTTTTACCTTATGACACCTGATCAGTTATACTTGATATAGGTGTCGTATGATAAAGATCCATTTCGAGATTATAAATAATAGTGTCTTGATATAGTTACTGAACGATAATTCATTTATCTGTCAGGTATAAACTTGTCTGGTATATTTTCTTCTATACCTAAGACTATCACTGTGTAAGTCACTTTCACTGGGGGGGGGTTTCTGTACAATATTATAACCTCCATCAGTTCAGACTATCCTGATTCTTCAGTACTTGACGAGGAGACGCTTCTGTGAATTGATTTGACAACGACACTTGCTTTATTTGATCGCTCCCCGCGTTTTTGTTTGTTAAGATAATATAACTCAAATGAATTATAAGTTAGATATTTTAAAGATCATTAGTTAGGCTAGAAATAGAGAAAAAATATATTGCATTATTTATCTAGTTCCAGTACAAAAATGTGGACAAAAGAGTAAGTTTTCGTCCAGTACTTCAGAATATTGTCACTTGTGGACTGTTCATATGCTGTGGACTATGACGTACAGTACGTGTTCAGTATGTTCATTTCTTTCTTACTGTCTTTGATGCCAAGCTGTCTTTAAAAGACAAAAAGATTGCCCGTAACTTTCCACAAACCACCGCTGCTCTTGGTCTATCTTTCCTGTTACTGTATCGGTATATTAATCCTGAAATTCTAACAACAAATTTGAATCATTGGTTGAAATGTATTGTCAGCAGATGTTGCTGCCATATATACTTCCTTTGTAGAATATGGAGAGCATGTCCATCTTTATTATTACTTATAGGAAATAATTATATTCTAGGTGATCCTCGCCGCCCTGGCCGCTGTGGCTGTCGCCGCACCCAAGCCTGACTACTCTCAGTCGTCCCATGAGAGTGTAGAGCATGTGCCCATCCTGAAGGACGTCCGTGTTCACGAGGACGACGGCAGCTACAACTTCGACATAGAGACTGGCAACGACATTGTCCTATCCCAGTCTGGCTCTCCTGACGGTCCTGATGGCGCCGTGGTGAAGTCTGGAAGTTATTCGTGAGTAGTTTTTTAATAATTTTTGTTGTGTGATAAAACAACACTAAGTAATTTCATCATAGTCTGTTTAATGATTGTTTGTTGTTACAGTAGTTAAAACATGTATGAGACTGAAGAGTTGTTTATATTTAATGAACTCTTTAACTGTATTACAGCTACACCGCTCCTGACGGCACCCCAGTTCATGTGACGTTCGTCGCCGACGAGAACGGCTACCAGCCCCAGTCTGACCTGCTGCCAGTGGCTCCCGCCTTCCCCCACCCAATCCCTCAGTTCGTGCTGGACCAGATCGCCTTCGCTGCTGCAGAAGACGCTGCCCGTGGCTCTGATGAGTCTGCTGAAGGTCCTTACCGCACCTACAGTGCCCCTTAGAGCTTATAAACCCGAACTGGCCTGCAGGAACTTCTGGTATATTTATTATATTTATTCTCAAATAAACATTGGTTACATAATCCATAAATATTTCGATGATTTATCTTTCCTCATTTCCCCACTCTTCCTAACCCAAAAAATATTTTGTTTTAAATTAATGTCCTCGTGCAAGTCATAGTTGTACGGTGAACAATCTGACAATAGCTGTTGCAGGTTGATCTGCGCCTCTGAGAATTCTTAGGGACCTTTAGTCTCATACGACATTATATGTAAACTGAGATTTTGGAAGTATGGAGGGAGGCGGGCTGAGTGGATGTAACACTCACCACCTGGCCAACGGTTCCTGACTCGAGTCCTGCTGCCGCCCTCTAGATGGGGCATCCTCAGTCAATACAGCTGCAGATTGGGCACCTGACTTTGCAGTGGGCAAAGTGAAAGGCTCTTTATATTCAGTAACTGCCACGCTGTTGAACACCATCACTTCCCCGACTCTTAAAGTTAAGTACTTATTCACACCTGGATAGACAAGGGGTGTTCCTGGGAGGAGGCGAAAGCTTTATCCTCCTCGGTCGCCTTACTGTGTCTTTCCTCTGTCTCCTAAAGTTCTCCGATTCGAACGATTATCTTCCTTGTGGATGCAGTCTCTCTTGTGATTAATTCTCTCGGTTTCAACTACTTAATCCGGCTTTTTCTTCTAAGGAGGTCGAGGTACCTTAAGTGGCATGTCTTCTTTTGGTCGGGTATAATAGTGTGTTCCAGGATACTTGTGGTGCTGAGCCTTAGGTGCACCGTGGCCTTGCCCTTCACTCGTACGCTGCCTCACCACTGATGACCGCCGCCGCTCTCTCTTGTGCTCTGTTTAGTAACGTACGAGTCATCTATGACTAAGGTATTTTAGTTCTGTGTGTATATGGTGTTTTGGGGTGCTTTGTACTTTGCTTTAATACAGTTTCTCTACGGCCAATAGTATCCTCTAGGAGTGGTACTGTTGGACAGAATTAATATTTTTAAATCTTTGTTATTAAGATAAAATAATAATTACTTTGCCAGTTTTCTAAATAAGTCTCTGAATGCTGTAAGGGAATATGAGGTCATGCCTACCAGTTGAAGTTTTATTTCGTTCGTTACCAAATATGAAGTTAATGTCAAAGTAAGACTAGATTATTATTTTTTTTATTTTTTTTTTATTTTTTTTGGTAAAGTGTCACACAACCAAGAGCAACACTAGTGTCAGTAATAAAACACTTTGTATGCCGAGGCTGACTTCACTTAGAGTACACAGATTACCGCCTCCCGAGTTTGAATGAAGCCACTACACCACCACCTCCTCAGACCCTCGAGTCCATATAGGGCAGTAAGGAGTACTAGTGTGGCAGCTCCCAAATCATATGGTTTGTGTCAGGGCTATTTTAACCAGTGGTAGTAAGTTGTCTGTATACTGGTAATTTTGATGTTTAATGTCCATGCTAAGAATATCCCTTTAGTACTGTGAAACCTCTAGTAAGTTCTTCACAAATATTAGTCAATTTCAAAATCGCTTCGAGTTTTGGGGGTATTTTTTTTTTTTTAGTTTTTGGGGAATACTTGAGTCTTAGGGTGAATATTTGAGTCTTGGATAAATATTTGAGGATTGAATAAATATTTATGCTTTGGGGTGAAATTATGACTTTTTGGATGAACTTTCTTAATCCTAAATTCTCTGGCTGAGTGCAAAAAGGGCCAATGACCAAAAAATGCCAATTTAGACTTTGGCCCATGAAACATTTCATGGGCCAAAGTCTAAATTGGCATTTTTTTTGGTCATTGGCCCTTTTTGCACTCAGCCAGAGATTTAAGGTTTAGGTTTTTTAATGAAAATTTGAGGAATAGTTAATACTGCCTCTGTCTCACTGTCTTGTAGGGGTGTTTACTGCCTCTGTCTCACTGTCTTGTAGGGGTGTTTACTGCCTCTGTCTCACTGTCTTGTAGGGGTGTTTGACAGAGAACATGACGTCGCTTTCCATACTACCTCCTCTTCTTTTATTTCAATTTTCAATTTTAGAGACTTGCTCTACTATCACGTTTAAGTTTCCATTAACTGTTTTATATATGTTTAATGTAAGGTATATAGAGAATAATAGTAAATGAAATCTCAAATAAAAATCTCACACGAGTATTTGGAAAGTTGGAGAAAATAGTGAAACTTGATAACAATAGAAACGACGAGGAAAAAAGTCACGAACTTTCATGGGGTAAATGAAGAAGGAAAAACTTCATTATTTGCATAAAATATATTCCATTTCCAAAATAAATAGAATAAATACAAGTACAGCTCCAGAGACACGAAAATAACATTATCATAGAAGATCAGAGTTCCTAGGGGGCGCCGTTTGAAGATCACACAAGCCATTATTAGAAGCCAAAGTTCTTAAGGGGCACTGTAGGTGCGGTAAGGACCTTCAGCAGACTCATCAGAGCCGCGGGCAGCGTCTTCTGCAGCAGCGAAGGCGATCTGGTCCAGCACGAACTGAGGGATTGGGTGGGGGAAGGCGGGAGCCACTGGCAGCACATCAGACTGGGGCTGGTAGCCGTTCTCGTCAGCTACGAACTTCACGACGATATGAGTGCCGTCAGGAGCAGTGTAGCTGTGATGCATTAAAAGAACTCATTAGAATAAATTACCCTCGCGTTCATACACTTCGGCTATATATCCTAAGCAACTAAATATTGAACAAAATGTAACAAAATAATCTTGTATGATCACAAAGTGAACTATGTAAAGAATAAAATACTCACGAATAGGAGCCAGCCTTCACCACAGAGCCATCTGGGCCGGTAGGAGTACCAGCCTGGGACAGGACAATGTCGTTGCCAGTCTCTATGTCGAAGTTGTAGCTGCCGTCGTCCTCGTGAACACGGACGTCCTTCAGGATGGGCACATGCTCTACACTCTCGTGGGACGACTGAGAGTAGTCAGGCTTGGGTGCGGCGACAGCCACAGCGGCGAGGGCGGCGAGGATCACCTGGAGAGTGTAAGAACAGTGTCATTAATTCTGATAAAACACACACACACTCACACACTCACACACACACTCACACGCAAACACTTTGTTCCACATCTATTCACTAACAATCAATTTACATCACAATTGTTTCTTTTCAAATAGTTGCATAATATAATTGTACTCCTACGGAGCTCCAAGACCTACGAGCTTCATGGTGAGTCTGCTTGATGATTTCTGGTACTTGACTCCACGCCGTCCCCCCTTATATATAGGTCGCTGTGGCTGTGTCCTTCTGGCCTGCCTCTCTCACTGCGGCCTGGACAAGTTCCACCAGCAGTAAACATGCCCTTGACATTCATATCTAATTACAGTTTCATGATCACTTTACCACAAATTTTTAGTCATCATGTTAAGAATACAGCCATGTCATTTTAACACAATCCTCAGCCACTTAGCGAACATAACTTGCTCACGGAGTACGACCCAACAACGGTAAAGATTGTTTCATGCCAGAAGATTGTGTAGAACGGAACAGTCCTTTTGACTTTAAGAATTCGTATTAGATTTGCCATATTGTCTCCTTACAACACACACTCCCAAAATCTTACAAAGGTGATGAAAGGTGAAGTCTACTGACCCGCTGGAACCGAGTGTTGTGCCTCAGGGAATAGTTAAGACTCTGATTTGATTTGACAGAACTCTGATATAGTAGTAGTAATAATAATAATAGTAGTAGTAACAGTATAAATAGTAGTAGTAATAGTAAAATTATTAACATTATTATTATTATTATTATTATTAGTATTATTATTATTATTATTATTATTATCATTATATTATTATTATTATTATTATTATTATTATTATTATTATTATTATTATTATTATTGTTATTGTTATTGTTATTATTATTATTATTATTATTATTATTATTATTATTATTATTATTATTATTATTATTATTATTATTATTATTATTATTATTATTATTATTATTATTATTATTATTATTATTATCATTATTATTATTATTATTATTATTATTATTATTATTGTTATTGTTATTGTTATTATTATTATTATTATTATTATTATTATTGTTATTGTTATTATTATTATTATTATTATTATTATTATTATTATTATTATTCTATCTCATCAAGAATTCCCTGGACACTTGACAATACCTGGCACATACAAGAGGGTTATATAAACGAGTATGTTCGATCCATAGTGGGTAAACTCTGCTTTCCCTTGTACTGTAGATAATTTCAGAATAACTTGGTAAATTCTCCTTATAACTCAGCTGTTTATAGCGCGTCACTCTGAACACTTCAAGACACATTAAGCGGAGACAACAAGTACTTATTTTTTAACCTTTTAATAAGTGTTTTCTCATATCGGGGGCGAGAGGAAAACGTCTTTTAAGCACACTTGATTATTTCTGGCCTGAACTGATTACTAATAATTAATTAACGCAGGACAAGTATAAAGGTGGTCGAGGCTGCGCTCCTACCCTGGCCGCCCGTAAAAGAGTTTAACAAACCTTCGGTGTCCACCAAACAACTCACAAGTCAGAAGGCTTGTGAGGTTTTTTGTGAATTTGACAAGAGTAGGAAACTCACACAGGTGCTGCGGCCTAGTGAATACAGCCTCGTTACCTGTCACAAAGGTCGCTTGTTCGCGCCCGTGAGGAACTCTCAGTTCACCCAGATGTGATTGGGTAGCTAACGTTACACTTGTAGAAGTGAAAGCGGTCGAGTGTAATGGCGGCTCACTGCCACCTAATATACCGTAAAATGACTTAATCTACAGTGTGCCAAGTCTGACTTGCCACTAATGGGCCGTCAGCACTGTGGGACCCACTTTCATTAAATTAAGAATACTCTTGATGTTACTGCATTCAAATGCTTTACCGACAATATATCATGAATACACTTCTTTGTTTTGATTATGGTATCACCTAGTGTCTTGAAGGGATGTCAGCCACCACATGCCCCAAATCCGGTATTTTACCCCCACTCTTGACTTTACTGAGGTCGACGTGGAAACTACCTGATACAAAAACACCAGATAGTTGACCTCCAGTGTATAACCACCATTGTTGCACCACAGTTTTGGATGAATGTTTTAGTGATCGTTGATAGAACGTTTACTGTACATCTGGCAGAGGATGAGTCACTCCAGCCACTACTACTGTTACTTCAGCCTCACTCACCGTTTGGCACAAGTCTTATTAAACGAAAGTGATAAAGATCTAATTATCTTATACTCAAAATTTATTCAATATACATAATTCATGTATGTTTTTTTTTCAATATTAATACAAGTGATTTGTGTGTTGTGGAAACTAAGGCTTTTGAAGGGTGTTAAATAGCACTGACAGGTAATGTGCAGCTGTGAACAACAACCAGTGAGGGAAAAATATTTACAAAATTTTAGGAGACAGAAAGAATTGCTTCATTGCTTGAAAAAAATATATTCCATTTCCAAAATAAATAGAATAAATACACGTCACATTCAAGAGCAGACAAAGTATCGTAGAAGAGCAGAGAGACTTCCTAGGGGGCGCCGTAGCTGAAGGAAGGACCGTCCTCAGAGGACTCAGCTGAGTGCTCGCCACGGCCACGGGCAGCGTCTTCCTCAGCAGCGAAGGCGATCTGGTCCAGCACGAACTGAGGGATTGGGTGGGGGAAGGCGGGAGCCACTGGCAGCAGGTCAGACTGGGGCTGGTAGCCGTTCTCGTCGGCGACGAACGTCACATGAACTGGGGTGCCGTCAGGAGCGGTGTAGCTGTAATACAGTTAAAGAGTTCATTAAATATAAACAACTCTTCAGTCTCATACATGTTTTAACTACTGTAACAACAAACAATTATTAAACAGACTATGATGAAATTACTTAGTGTTGTTTTATCACACAACAAAAATTATTAAAAAACTACTCACGAATAACTTCCAGACTTCACCACGGCGCCATCAGGACCGTCAGGAGAGCCAGACTGGGATAGGACGATGTCGTTGCCAGTCTCTATGTCGAAGTTGTAGCTGCCGTCGTCCTCGTGAACACGGACGTCCTTCAGGATGGGCACATGCTCTACACTCTCGTGGGACGACTGAGAGTAGTCAGGCTTGGGTGCGGCGACAGCCACAGCGGCCAGGGCGGCGAGGATCACCTGGTAAAGAAAATTAAATAATGTTTTATGACCTCAGTATTGAAGAAATCTACTGCCTTAAGCCTCCCATGGTCGCTTGATTGTCATCAACGTCACAATTTCTTTTGTTTATATGACAGTTGTGTTTTCTCAAAGGTCTTTCTTAACCCGTGGGATCCAACTGAGGATCCCTTGAGCTCCCTGTTGATATGTTCTTGTTGTAATATTGTCTTTCCACTGTTACTGTATAGTTCCTTTGCCCTAAAGTATCACAAAATATCTGGTTAACATTCCAGCTTACTGTTTCACTACCCATCTTAATAAAAACTATATATATATATATATAATAGTCACATGGCAAGAAACTATCAAGTTTCACATTGATTCACCGATATTCATCTTACACCGACACTCTGTCTGACAAAGTGTCGTTAACAACTGGCACAGCTTCACAGAGCCACCACTTACGAACTTCATGATGAGTGTGTTGGAGTGGTTCTGGTGCTTGAGTCAGCGGCGCTTTGACTTTTATAGCGGAGGTGTAGCAGCGTCTCCCAGGCGGCTCCTGTGACTCTGGTAAGTGCTGGTTCCACCCGTAAGAGACATGTCCTTCACCTTCCCATGTGACCAGTGGTTCTCAGCGACCTTGTCACTGATGTTCATGTTCATATTCCATTTATACTTTCACTATCAGTGCGACATTCCTGAGCTACTTTTTACAGTGCTCAGTTTGTTAATTTAACTGATAACTGTTTCCTATATCACTAGTTGATCCAATATCACTCATACTCAACAAAAGGGTTTATTTATGACTGAGTATCAAGACTCTATACATGTGTGGTAGTGATAATATGACACCGACACTCATCCTCACACTATCCTCGCGGCCATGTGTTTCATCCAGCTTATGACGTGTTTTTGTGAAAACTTTCAACACCATGAGTACAGTTGCTGCCGAAATTGCCTGAGTACATGGCAAGATCTGATATTTACAGTACTTGAGGGCCATATGTTGGATTAGTTCATAACTGGTGAACGCTGCATTTCATCATGATTTATGTCGAAAAAATATAAAGAACAAATAGTAGAGAAAAAATCTAAGCATGTTGATGTTAAAATCCGTCCTCCTTCCGGTAAGACTCTCCTGTAGTTGCCAAATATTGTCTAAAGTATCGTAGAAATTTTTTTGTACATAACTATAAACAACAATGTATCTTAAGTTGTTTGTCCTCTCTGCAATAATACATAACTACAGGTTAACTGAAGCTTGATAGAGTTACCTTCAATAGATACAGTCATCGATTAGCCTCTACAAGCAATTTACGTTTTTTGACAAATAAGGATAACTTTTTTTATTATTACAACTTAATGAAAATTATTTCGGATATGGTCAAATTAGATGCGTTTCATTTAAGACAAATTTTGCGTAAAGTAGGATAGGTGAATTAGTCAAGGTTAGGTAATATTATGTATGACTATTCATTTGTATGTATTGTGACATCTATGATATCTACATTACGTATATGGCCAGTTAGGCGTTTCCAAAAATATACATGTATGTGTGTGTGTGTGTGTGTGTGTGTGTGTGTGTGTGTGTGTGTGTGTGTGTGTGTGTGTGTGTCTGTGTGTGTGTGTGTGTGTGTGTGTGTGTGTGTGTGTGTGTGTGTGTGTGTGTGTGTGTGTGTGTGTGTGTGTGTGTGTCTGTGTGTGTGTGTGTGTGTGTGTGTGTTAATCGTCATTCTCATCAAAGCCTTGCTAAACTCTCCTGAAAATTGGCCGAAACACACACACACACACACACACACACACACATAAAACGACTAGCTGAATAAGTTGTCTAATAATTGTTAATCGGGTGCTAATGGTGGCACACAGACAGCCAATAGACGTGCAGACTTTTAATAACTATGCAGGTGTGTTAGTAAAAATAATGTACCAAGTGGGTGGAATATTTGACACAATCAACTGAGACTTTGGCAGATAGAGGTGAAGTTGTGACATGGGAGATGCACAAATAAGGTTCATTTTCACTATGTAGACAGATCTTACTTTATTTTTTTTCTTATCATTTCACTCAACACAGCCATGACAGAGTCTGGTAGCTTCGAAAAACATCTTCACTGTGACGTTCTGTGACCCACCACTGGATGACCGACCACTTGGAGGTTAATAACACACACTTTCTACCAACACAAGACCGGAGTCCATCGTCGTAAATCAGTGTGTGTGTGTGTGTGTGTGTGTGTGTGTGTGTGTGTGTGTGTAATTGTGTGTGTGTGTGTGTGTGTTAATCACATACTCCCGTGTAGGCATTGGTTTCTTATAACAAAATTCATGCCTTGTCATTAGGTTTTCTGGCCAGTACGAAGCTCTCAGGTGGAGGCGGTGCTGACCATTCAGGGCCAGGTGGGTGCCCATGGCTATAGTTTCTAGCTTTCACTACGTTAGAAAGAACTAACAAAACAGCCAACACTTCTAATTCCATTTCATAAATATTCTTTCTTTTAAAGGGGCAATAAAACTGTAGGTAAGAGGAATCAGTGTTTATGTAATTACTCTCTGATAATTGGGTAAAAATTATGAGATTTTCATAGTTCCACATAAGTGGTGACCCAGCTCATAAGTCTGACCCACTCCGCTCCACTTCATCAACATCTGTATCATTAGAAGATATCTCCTGTAGAAGCCAATACCGTAACAAAAACAACAATAGTGGAATGTGTTGTGATAAAGACTGAGGTGAGAGCAGAGGAGTAGGTGTGTAAATATGTTTATCACTAAGTTATATAATATATAACTTAGTGAGAAATATACTTTGAATCGCTACTGGTGTCATTTATCAACTGCTGTACTTGTACTTCATATAAAAAAGTCACTAATGCACATTACATGGAATATTAAAGTGTAACAATGAATGGCAAAATGAAGTTGTGAAACTCCGTGAGAATTGGGGAAAGAGAAAGGAAATCCATTTTTTTTGTTAAAAATAATATATTCTATTACCAAAATAAATAGAATAAATACATAAGAACTTCATGAACGGGATATTAGCATCCAAAAACTGAAGCTCCTAGGGGGCGCCGTAGCTGAAGGATGGACCATCCTCAGAGGACTCAGCGGACAGCTCACCACGGGCACGGGCAGCGTCCTCTGCAGCAGCGAAGGCGATCTGGTCCAGCACGAACTGAGGGATTGGGTGGGGGAAGGCGGGAGCCACTGGCAGCAGGTCAGACTGGGGCTGGTAGCCGTTCTCGTCGGCGACGAACTTCACATGAACTGGGGTGCCGTCAGGAGCGGTGTAGCTGTAATACAGTTAAAGAAGGTGAGTTAAAGATAAACAACTCCTCGGTCTTATACATGTATCCTACGTATTAACAACTACTATATCCAACATTATATAATTGCTTAGTCTATTTTGATCACTCATGTACAAGTCAGTAAAATCAAATTACTCACGAATAGGAGCCAGCCTTCACCACAGATCCATCGGGACCGGTAGGAGTACCAGCCTGGGACAGGACGATGCCGTTGCCAGTCTCCAAGTCGAAGTTGTAGCTGCCATCTTCCTCGTGAACACGGACGTCCTTCAGGATGGGTATTACCTCGACACTCTCATGGGACGACTGAGCGTAATCAGGCTTGGGTGCGGCGACAGCCACAGCGGCGAGGGCGGCGAGGATCACCTGGAGCGTACAAAAAATTATGTTATTGAGAACACATACAAGTAAGTAAAATGCAGCGTCTCTCGTGGAGGGAGCCTGCCTAGTAGTCTACCTAATATTGAGAGGCATTAGGCCTACACCACCACTGAGGAATAAGCCTTCAGTACACAAGGAGGAAGAGTATATCTGACACCGCAATTGACCACCTTTATTTCCTCAACTATAAAGTTAGGTGTCCATTCACAGCTGGGTGGACTGGGAGTGTTCTGGGCGTAACCCAGCGACTTTTAGGAGAGGAGGCTGGTGTTATATGCTCTCAGGCGTCATAATCCCAGAGGATACCTTATGCATGAATGTAATTGTCCAACTTCAAAGATTACTGCCAATCACTTTCATAACGCCATCGGGACCAATACTCTAGATTTGATTAACGGTGATTAATATACAACCTTTCATCTATTGTGTTGTGTGGACAACGTACACTATACACCAACACTTACGAACTTCATGGTGAGTGTGTTTGACAGGGTCTGGTGTTGAAGTCCACTTCGCTCTGGCTTTTATAGTGGTGTCCTCCGGACTGAGACTGGAACGGGGTCAGATTCCACCCGCATTAAACATATCCTTGACCTTCACTCCGACAACTGCTCTGCTCCTACTCACCTTTAATATGGGATTTGGTACGCTGGTCATGTTCAGCTTCGCGGTAAAGTGGCGTCAGTTACTTTTACTCCTAAATCATTGTGAACTCAATTCTAAGCGTTAAATATGATAATTCATACTTACCGGTTCCTTCATTGTGTTTGTTTTACATCATGTTAGTTTGGTAGGTGCGAGCGGTATCCAGGCATGGTGCTGGTATAGTCGCTAGTGGGGACAGAGCACTTCTTACATATATTGTGTTCACGTAAAAGAAAATAAAGATTCATATAAAAATGTACTTTCTAGTTATTAATTCCACGCAAAATATTCTTTAGGATATTCGAAATATTGTGAAATGTTGATTACCTCCATAATTACTGAAGTGTAACAAACTTGGATAAACTTCAAATATAAATGATAATTACTGTATTAAGTAATTACACGTACAGTATTCCTTCAGAGAGCTAATCACGCTTGTTACCGTCAAGTGTTTTCTCTGGTGTTTCTGAGGAATCCTTCAGTACAATTAGCCTGGGTGTTCATCAGGTCCAACGTTGTAGTATTATGCTGCAGTTACACGTGTTCACTTGGTGTAGTGTGTCCAGCAAACGTCAACAAGAATAAAGGTGGCCCTTGACTGGCCTCCACGAGATAAGAACAACATCCTACTAACAGCTGCGCATACTTGGATAGCTGAAAAAGAAGGAATTTGGCAGCCATTAACCGGGAGGGGGGCAGGAGAGAAGATTATAGAAGCAAACGGGAAGACCTTCATCTAACGGTACATAAATGATACAGGTTCATAATATGTATAGCCATGACACAGCCTGGGGAGTTTAGTACAGTGGCGAGGGAGATAATTCATTTGGGAATTCTGTTGTATCTTAATTACTGTATTCGACTATCAAATACTTACTATGTGTTTTATTTTCAAGTATTTGTTATTATAATACAATAATTAAGATACAACACAACTCCCAAACGAGTTATCTCCCTCGCCACTGTACTAAACCCCCAGGCTGTGCCATGGCTATGAATGGGTATCCTTTGGTTAACTCGGCAGTGTGGACGAGCGAGTGAGCAGGACATTCATGTATAGAAAAATACTCTATCTGATTTTTTCTTTAAGGTAACGAAATGAAACAGCACAGAAATAGGACGTAAGAGGCACAATTGAAGAGAAGTGGTGAGCGTAACCCGCCCTGTACATCACAGTGGGAGGTGGCTGGCCCCGGTACTTGATTGCGGAAGACTTCCTGCCCTTTCTCCGAGTTAACTAACGCTCACGTACTTAGGAATGTTACCCTCTCCTGCTACAGCTAAGCGAGTGATCAACCATGACCCACAGGGCACCAAGACAGAGAATTATTGGTCTAGTCTCTATGTGTTCCAAGTAATGGTGAACCAAACAGTGAGGGAGGAGTTTCGTCACCTACCTTCACTTACTTTCATTTTGATACAAGATCACATACAAACCCCCAGTTGAAGGTTCTCTATCCTTACGTCAAGTTGTTGTCAGTTTACTTCACGTTCTTGAAATTTAGAACCTCTTATCAACGTTTGACCTCATGTTGTTTGTCCCCAGTATAACATTTCGACGCACCACCTCTGTTTTAGTGACAAGGAAAGTGTAAACAATTTATTCACGTTGTTCAAACCTAAAATTCCGTATCAAAGATTAATTTTATCCTGTTGCATACCCGGTAAAACACATCGAGTTTAGCAGAAAGGTCTCTTATAGCAACACCCACCACCACCCCCCCCTCTTCCTATGGTCAAGTTGAATTACCATCCACTCGGGGACTAGTCCGAGCTAACTCCTCTACATTCTGGCAAGGTGCCCATCGTACCCTAGGAATACTCGACACCAACCTGAATGTGTGATCTTTTACCAACGCCTTGACCCTGGTGCTGGCGGCTGCTGGGTACGACCAATACCTGACATTTGGGTGCCACCTGAGGAACTTACCTGAGCCACTTAACTGTGAGTGAAGGTCGTCACCTCACTTCACTCATTGCCTCCGTACTTGACACACTACCCCCCCCACCCCATAACCCCCCAAAAAATGAGTAAAATGAAAAATCGTGGAATAAAAGAGAGACATACATAAATATTGCAATAAAAACTAAAATGGACAAACAAAAATAATAGAAAAAAATTTCATTTTTCAGTAAGGAAATCATAGATATATAAATATTTCAGATAAACTTGAACGCAGAGAAAATAAATGAATAAGGTAAAGAGAAATCATTATCAACGAGACATTCACATATTTTTTTCATAAATATTCCAACAAATTTGTGTCTAGGTCATAGTAACACTACCCAACACCTGACTGGCACTCTGCTCCTGAACCGACAACATAGCCGCAGCCTCGCCCTTGGAACCTTCATACGCACCGTCAGAATAACTCATCCGGTCACTGGTATACGTTTAATTCCTAGGATATGAGGTGGTCACGGCAAACATGTGTTGAAATAGAGGCGTTTTATCACTGTTTATATGTCTGTGCTCTTTATGTAAACACTAAACCATTGTGAACTTACGAGAGGATTTTTAACTAATTGAACACCTTTTAACTTTTCTATTATCTCTCTATGAAAGTATTAAGGTGTTAATTATTTACCAACAGGTGATATCTGCACTTGACATCTCTATCACAGCAAAGGAAAAGCTGCATTAATATCTTCTACCAGTCACTGAAGCGTTAAGGTTATCCCTCCTTGGGCAGCTCCGAAACCACAGCTTCCCGGGAATCAGGTCAGTGAGTTGCGCCTTGCTTACTACACTGTCTGGGAACGGCAAGGGAGTGAAGGATGGGAGGGGAGTGGTTAAGGAGGAGAGGGAAGTCAAGGAGGGGAAGTTAAGGAAGGAAGGGGAGGAAGTCCTAGGGAAGGTTTGGGAGAGTAGGGGAGAAAGTACTGAAGGTGAGGCAAGGAGGTCAGGAAGTACTGGAGTGGTAATGGCGGTCCCCAGGGAAATGATATAGGATGAGAACCTCGACCATAACAAACTGTTTACAATTACTTCAAGACTTGGGAAGTATATGTACATAAATCCCACTCCGTATATCCATCTAATGACCCATATATACGATCTACTTATTATATATTATTCTTTAAGTTCTCAAATCCATAGAAAATACACAAATACACTTATCAGAACAAATATAAAAGACACAACACCAATATTTCGAACACGATGCATAGTATAATTTTTTTCATTATTTCCTTTTTTCTGGTATGTTAAAGTTTAGGAGACACTTCACCCCATAACTCATAAAGACTCACACGATAATGAGTACGTCTCACAACCCTCTGGTGGAGTCTCCTCACAAGGATAATGTTGCTGGATGAATAGATATATAGATGTTGATAATGTTTGGTTATTATTTGACTTGTTTGTTCTGACAGTGATAAATAATTTAATATCAGTGAAAATTATTAACACTTATTATCTTTCGGAACTTTCACAAGCTTATGCCCCACACTCACACACACACACACACACACACACACACACACACACACTGTACACTCTGAGCACGCCTCTTACTTAGCTGTCAACTCTGAGAGGAGAGCGGCAAATTACAATTTATAATAAGGCTAAACCAGGTAAAGTCCTGAACCCTTTGAATACCTTGCCGACTGAAACCCAGGTGAATCCCGGTGTTGTAAAATTAACCCTTAGCTGGCTCCCGGTGTTGTAAAGTGAACCCCTAACTGACTAGCGGGTGAAACATAGATGCGTGTACAGTTATTTGTATTCGTTGTAATTTTTCCAAAGTAATTTCAAACTTTTTTCGACAATTGATTTTCTTATGTTGCGATTGCAAATAAACCTCAAATCTTAAGTACATTCGTTTCTTATTCTATAACAATATACACTACTACTACTACTAATAATAATAATAATAATAATAATATAACTACTACTACAATTTAAAATGGCCTCCATCCTCCCCCAATAGTCACACCTACTGCTACTACTTTTTTTACTACTACTACTACTACTACTACTACGACTACTACTACTCACTAAGAGTTCTCTCCTTCATCGCTGATGCCACAAGAACTAACAAGTGAGAGGAGAAGGAAAGTGAATTTGCTATGCCTGAGAGAGCGTCCGAGTGAAAGTGGCATCATCATCATCATCTGCCCTCAACCCCGTCCCTTATCAACCCCGTCCCTTATCAACCCCGCCCCTTATCAACCCCGTCCCTTATCAACCCCGCCCCTTATCAACCCCGTCCCTTAACCCCCGTCCCTCAACCCGTCATCACGTCCTCAACCCCGTCATCGCCCCGTATCAACCCCGTCCTTATCAACCCCGTCCTCAACCCGTCCTTATCAACCCGTCGTCCCTCAACCCCGTCATCAACTCAACCTCGTCATATCCCGTCAACCCCGTCCCTTATCAACCCCGTCCCTTATCAACCCGTCCCGTCATACCCCGTCCCTCAACCCGTCCCTCATCACCCCGTCCCCGTCCCTCAACCCCCTCAACCCGTCCCTCAACCGTCCTCGCCCGTCCTTATCAACCCCGTCCCTCAACCCCGTCCCTCAACCCCGTCCCTTGTCCTCAACCCCGTCCCTTATCAGCCCGTCCCTCAACCCCGTCCCTCAGTCCCTGCCCCTTATCAACCCCGTCCCTCAACCCTGCCCCCGCCCTTATCAACCCCCGTCCCTCAACCCCGTCCCCTTATCCAACCCGTCCCTCAACCCCGTCCCTTATCAACCCGTCGTCCCTATCAACCCCGTCCCTCAACCCCGTCACCCCGTCCCTATCAACCCCGTCATATCAACCCCGTCCCTCAACCCGTCCCTATCAGTCCCTCAACCCGTCCCTTATCTCAACCCGTCCATCCCTATCAACCCCCGTCCCTCAACCCGTCCCTCATCCCCGTCATATCCCGTCCCAACCCCGTCCTCAACCCCGTCCCTTATCAACCCCGT